TCCATATAACCCAGCGAATACTGTGGTGCGTGGAAAGTTTATTTCCCTTAAGGCAGCTTTCCTTTCTCCTCTTTCCCTACTCTATGGTTTTGATTCTTTTTTAAGGCAAATCTAGAGAGGGCTTCGTCATTTCAAACAGGAATACACACACACACACTCTTTCTCTTTCCACCTTTGCAACACGGGCAAAGTGTTGTACAAAGGATGCAGTATTACTTCTGAGAACAGAACTGTGGTAGAAAATGACCATGTGTGTTTTTATCCCGCCCCACCCAAAGAGATTTAGTCATAGTGTTGGAAATTGAAAGAGATTTTTTTTAAGGCTTGGCTGTTACTGAGTCTTTTGGAAGAGTAAAGCTCCCATGTGGTGTTTAGAGGACAGGACATTATCAGATACTGTCTGTATCTCTGTTTTCTCAAGCTCTAGGTGTGTGTTTCTGATGACCACTGGTCACAAATTCATTGGAAACCCAAGCTATTTTTGAAGAGGAGAATTGTATGGTTTTTATCTAGCTCTGGTCAGTTATCCATCTTCTGTAACAAGGGTCTGATATTTGAGCTTGTCACTAAAATTTCAAGAGATGAAAATCAACAGCCTTGAATAATATTTCAGGTTTTTTGTTTTGTTTTGGTTGTTTGTTTTTTTTTTTTATTATTATTTTTTTAGCAGTTACAAAAGTAATTTAACAAAAATAAAATCAGAAAGTAGTCTATTGACGTTGTGTACTCGGTAGTCCTGTCCCTGCCTGTAACAGATTTCACTGATGTATTTTTTAATACAGAAAATTATGTGAAAAGTAAAACCTGCCCCTGATTCTGTCTGACCAAAGCCCATCTGTGTCTGTCATTTCTGAGCAAAGGTTCTGCTTTCTCCATGGCCTGGCAGGGGGAGATGTTTTGGCCACTCCTCAGCACAGGGATGCTCCTGCAGGCTCAGTTCTTGCTCTGTGACACCAGCCTGCCCCTCCCCACTGTTACATTGAATGGTGACATTGCAGGCAGAGTGGTTTGGATTGGGAAGGTTCAGGGAAAGCAAAATCATGCTGGAAAGATCAGTTTGTAGGGGATTAAGGATGTCTGAGGTGTGTCTGCTGCTCACAGCTGTGCCCAGAGCCTCAGTGGCCATAGCACAGGGGAGGCTCCAGGAATTCCTGTGTCTCCTGGGCAGCTGCTGGGGGTGCTCCCTCCTTCCCTGACCCCCCTGGGAATGAGCAAGGCAGCAGTGAGGACAGGCTGTGGGGAGGGCAGGATGGGGATGGTGTGAAAAATGATCCCAAAGTTGAGTGTTCCTTAACAGACCTTAACAGAAATATTCCTGTAGAATAATGTAGGATATTTGTACCTTATGAGAAACACTTTTCTTCCTCTGAGCATCCTCACTTTTTCTTGTCTGGGAACACCTTCATTGAGGTGAATTTTTTGCAGGCACTTAGAATGAAAGATACTTGCCTTTCAGATTCTCTCAGCAAGGCAAGAGAATCACTTCAACTTTCACTGGCTGACAGCAGAGTTGTTAAACATTGTGTAAACTCCTTTGGTGTGGTGGCTGTGACATGAGAAACATTTCATTGCAGTTCCATGGTAATAATTAACACAGTAAGTAGTTTTAGTTTCTATTTCACTCCTGCTTGGAGGCCCTTTGGCAATGGTCTGCTTTTCCCAGAGTCTGCCTGGGCTGTTTTTGCCTCTTGAGGGATTTCTTGTCAGCTCTGCTCAAGTTCACACTGTTATCACAAGAAGGATTACCTTGAAGGATTAAAGTATACACAAATTATACACACAGGCTCAAAGTTCTGAACACAATCTTGTTTCTAATCAACATTTCTGACTGCTGAGCACACAACATTTATTGAAATATTCTTTTAAACAAAAAAATCCTGCTGTGTCCTGCTGAACCCTAGATTTAACTGGGCTGGAAAAGACCTTTGAGATCATCAAGTCCATCCTGAGACCTAACACCAGCTTGGCAACCAGACCATGGCACTGAGTGCCACATCCAGTCTTAAACTGTAGTTTCAGTGTGGACAGAGAAGCAATAAAGATGGGTGTGAGAAAGAAAAATGGAAAACTTCCTGCTACCAGGGTTCCAGCAGCTCCCAGGGCAGGAGGTGCAAACCTGCTGCTCCATCCTGGCTTCAGTTCACTAAAGAAGGGAACTGGGGGCTCATGAAAAGCCACAGAACTAGGTACAAAAGGAAGTTAAATTACCTTGGGAATTATTCTGCCAACATCCCAGGATTTCTCTGGAATAGTTTCCAACTCCTCAGAGACTTAAAGCAGCATCAAAGTCCCTCGTCAGGTGTCCCCAGCTGTGCTGCTGCTTCAGTGCCAGGGCTCACAGAGGTGACTCAGAGGGATGTGCAATAAAGTCATTGGGCTTTTGGTAACAATCTCAGTAACTCCCCAGCCCCTGAGCAGCAGTTTCACTGTTGCCTTCACAACCAGAACCCAGAACAAATGCTCCTGCACCCAATGCTTACTGTGCTTATAACCCTGACATGGCTGGAGCTTTGCTCCTCTCAGCACAACAGGTTCCTCCCCATTCTTCCTTGACCTTTTTAAACATGCCAGAGGAAAACCAAATATTTGCTACCTTCATTAAAGAGCTGCTCCCTGGCAGTACTTCCCCTGTAGCATCATCAGCCTTGTAAGATGCTATGTAAGAAATTAGTTTTGAGCCCTTCAGCTCCCGAGCATTAACTGTTGGGTTTTTTTTTGCTTTACCCGTGTATGAGCACCAAAAGTCTGTAAAAATCACAGACCATTGCTGAGAAGAAAGGATAGAAGGACTTTTGGGAGCACTGAAATGGGTGTGTTGTGCTTTTGAGAGCTGCAGGTCTTGTCTCATGTTGCCAGAGCTTCACACCTGCAAGGGGTGACGTGACAGAGGAGTCCCCATGGGATCCCCTCCTTTGCCTTACAGGGAAATCCCTTTGCTCCAGCACCACAGAGCTGGGCAGGTAGGACTGACTCTGCTTTGCATCTTCCCCAGGAGGAAACAATTGGTTTGGAAATGATGTGGGGGTCAAATGGTTTTGCACAGTGTTACTGTTTGTTAGGAAGTTGACCCCAGCCCTTTTTTTAGGTGGATTTTTTAAAACTAAGGGAAAAACCACTCATTTAGTCTGACCACTGGCACCATCTTCTTCCAGCAGCAGAGTTATAAGAACTTGTCTTTTTATCTTCAGTTTTACCACCACAATCCCGAGGAGCATTCCAGAAGTTTTCTGTTGTGTTGTGCTTTCAGAGGGAACAATTTTGGACATGCCAGGAAGAGCAAGTGGCAGAAGAGCTGTTGCAAGGTGCTGGGAATGTGCTTTGGGGAGGCACATTATATTAATATAAATATTAAGTCCCTAAGATTAATGGTTTTATATTCCAAACATCTCACTGAGGAGGTCCTTGGTGCTCAGGCGCTGACACCAGTGCTGGCTCTGCTCCAGGGAGTGTTACACAGATGCAGAAGGGTTTTTAAAGTCATAAAGGCTCAAAAGAACTTGGGCAGCTTGGATTCCTCTAGCCACAGGACCGAAATGTCCATTGGACATTACATTGCCTAAGCTGATGGATTTTCAGCAGATATTCAGCTTTTGTTAAAGAAACAAGACCTGGGATACCTGACTTTCACCTCTCAGGTGGGAAATGGGAATTTATGACAATGAAACAGTGAAGTTAGACAGAGCTTTACACCCCACATCTCAAAACGAATCCCAAAAACATGGTTTTAATCTTGGAAGATCCCAGTGGATGTGGGCAGCACAAGCCACACACTCCAGCTTGGTAGTCTTGATTCTTAGTCAGCCTTTGGATATGTCAACAGAGGGGCTTGGGCCTGTGTGTGCTGGGCTTTTTATCCTCTCTTTTGCATATTTATGGCACAAACAGCCAGAGCAATTTGCATTGGTTTTTTTGACCTGCTGGGAGCCAGGCTGCAGATTTGGAGAGAAGGGTGAGAGTGATGGCACCTGAACTTTGTCCCCAGCTAAGGCGCCAACTCATCCCCCAGCCCCAGCGCACACTTCCTGTCACTCCTGAGAGTCGATGTCCCCTGTCTGTCCCTTCCAATCTGTACCTGGGTTGTACCCTCTGTAAATTGGCCAGACTTTCCTACCTCGTTTGGGCATTATGAGGCAGAGTTCCACAGGATGCTTTGCAGCCCCGTGATGAAAGGTGCTATAAAACTGCAAAGTTTTACTTCAGAAGATGTAACTAGATCACCAGTGCATCATCACCTATATTATACAGACATTTTCTAATATGAGAATTTATAGAGTTCAATGTATAGTATTCATAAGTGAATTATTGAGACCCTCAAAAGAGTTTTTGTTTCAATCCTATCTGTATTCTGGAAGAGTGATTAAAAACCTTTAAACTTAATAAAAGAGTGATTCATTGTAGGAGAAAAGGAGATACTGCAACCTATCTAAAAGCAGTTTACAAACCAGTACACAGTTTGAAAGCAGAATGTCACAGATTTCCTAGGGGGAGGGCTCAGCAGTTTCTAAGCCACAGTTAAAATTGCAGCGGATCACCTGCACAGCAGCACCTGGTGGTTCCCACCTGGTGTTCCCACTCACACTCGGTTTTGCTCCTCTGGCATGGGCTGTAGATACTGCCCTGCCCCAAAGTGGTGCAGGGGAACTGGGGGCACCATCAGCGAGCAGGGCAGGCCTGGGCACTGAACATGCCCTGTGCCCTGTCACCCTCTAATGCCACCATCACGCAAGAGCTGCAGCCACACAGAAACACCAACTCTGCTGCAAGCAAAGCACATTTATTGGCTTCGGGGAAATTGCTGCTCACAAGAATCCAAAGCTTTTAAAAGCAGAGGCAAAGCCCTGAGGGGTCTGTGGGGGTTTCCCAGCACCTGCAACTGTGCATGGCAAGGCCTTGGGATCAGGTTGGACGAACCGAAGAGAACCCAACGATATCTGCAGTTGTCTCCTCCTCGTGTTTGTTGCCCGAGTTATTTTTTCTTGGGTTTGTCACTTGAGTTTTTATCATTTTTTAGGTTTGTCACTTGGAGGTTTCTTTCACTCAGAGACCAACTCACCGCTTGCTGCACCAGCTGCACCCAGCACAGCTGTCAGCCCAGCTTTGGCACCAACAGAAAGACCTGCAGCTCCTGCAAAGACAAATCGAGATCCCAGGAGCATCAAGGCTGCCTGCTGAGGCACAGCCAGCCAAGGACTCCTCCCGGGCAGGGAGAGCCCAGAGAGTTTGGAGCAATTCAGAGCAGGGAGGAGTTGAAGGGCTGCTTTGGCTCTGGAGCCAGCCCGTGCTCCCTGCCATGGAGATGAAGCCCAGCTCCCCTGCCCTCCCCACTCACCGATGGACTGCAGCACGGCCACGGTGCTGCCGGCAGCCACTCCGCCGCCGTTGGCGATGGCAGCTGCCGACATCATCTTGGCAGCGACGGAGCCAGCGGCGATGCCGGCCCCGGTGAACCCCAGCGCGCCGAGGCACACTGGGAGGCCAACCAGTGCCAGTCCTGCAGGGAGGGCAGAGCAGTTTTAGGGTCCCCTCTGTGACCCACATGTCCCCCTGCCACCAGCACCAGAACCGGCCTCCCCAAAAGCACCCAGGGACCAGAGCGGGGAGTGAGGGCTGGGGGTGCAGGGACAGGGACACCCATGGGCGGCAGGAGAGGAACAGTGTGCAGGGCTGCAGCAGCGGGGACAGGCAGAATTCCAGGCAGCAGCCAGAGCTGCCCTTCCTCCTGCCTGCACCCCAATTCTCCCCAGCCCCGGTACTTGCAGCCCCCAGCCCAGCCCAGTCCCCAGGACCACGCGGGGCTGGGACCGGGCAGTGAGCCCGAGCGCTGCTCATGCAGTGCCAGACCCTCACCTGCTCCCACTGTGGCTCCAATGACACCTCCAATGACACTCCTGTTCTCCCCTGAGAAAGAAAATGACAGGAGGGCAGGAAGGACATGAGCATGGACAGCAGAGCTCCCCTGAGCAGTGCTGAGCACTCTGCGCCAGGCAGAGCAGGGTCCCAGAGCCAGCAGCAGCTCCTCCAGCCTCCCCCTGCCTTCAGCTGCCTCTGGCCCCTGAAGACCCCTGGGAAGGGATCACTGGTGGGGTGGGTCCCACTGCCCCCCCAGGCTGGGAGGAACAGGGAGAAGGGGCACACCCTGGAGTGCCCACCCACCCTGAGCTGCCCTGCCCACTGCACCCACCAACCCAGAACAGCATGGGACACACAACACGTGTCAGCCCAGTCTGTCACCTGCACTGCCCAGATGACCTCTGTGCCCACAGCCACCCCATGAGCATGGAGCTCCTCGTATTTTCAGCCATGCCCAACCCATGTTGGCCTCAGACCCAGAACCCCTCAGTGGGTGGAGGATGCTCAGGCTGGTGTTTTGTGGAGGAACAGGGAGAAGGGGCACACCCCACAGTGCCCACCCACCCTGCCCTGCCCTGCCCTGCACTGCCCACTGCACCCACCAACCTGGAACAGCACGGGGGACACAACACGTGTCAGCCCAGTCTGTCACCTGCCACCAGCACAAGATGAATCAGAGTTTATAACAAACTCACCCACTGCCTTGCCAGCCCTTCCCTGTGCAGGGGGAGAGGGAGCAGGGATGGCAACACTGCCCACTGGAATCCCTTTCTGGAGCACAGCAAATCCCAGGGCACTCAGCAGGTACCCACACCCCAACTGCACACCCACCACCACTACAGCCCCTCCTGCAATGCACTTCTGCTGTCGCGGCACCTATCTCTCCTACAGCTCTTCAGGGGTGTAGGAGTGATACAGGAGGAGGTGCCCAAGCTTCTGGGGCTTCCCAGTGCCTACCAGGCTGCCTGGCAGAGATCTTGGGGTCAGGCATCTGCTTGGCTTCTCTTGGGAAGTCACAAAGAATTACAGAATTAACTGGGCCGGAAAAGACCTTTGAGATCAAGTCCAAGCTATGACCTAACACCCCCTCATCAACTTAACCGTGGCACTGAGTGCCACGTCCAGTGTCTTTTTAAACATATCCAGGGATGGTGACTCCACCACCTCCATGGGCAGAAAATTCTAGTGCCCAGTCAGTCTTTCAGTGAAGAATTTTTTCCTGATGTCTCACCCAAACTTCCCCTGCATTTTACCTGGATTATCCCCATCCTTGGGATCACCATCAGGACTATTGTCAGGACCATTCTCAGGACCACTGTCAGGACCACTGTCAGGACCACTGTCAGGACCATTGTCAGGACCATCCCCAGGACAATCCCCATCCTTGGGCTTGTCACCATGATTTGTCTCATCCCAGGATTTCTCATCTGAATTTTTCTTCTTCTTGGGCTCATCACCAGGAGCTGTGTGCTCCCCAGATTTCAAATATACAATTATCGCCTTCTTGGGTTCCTCCTCTGGAGTTGGCTTCCTCTTGGACATTTTGGCAGAGTCTCCTGCACCAAGTGACAGCAGGATAGGTGTCAGCCCAATTTTGGCACCAAGAGAGAAACCTGCAGCTCGAGGCTGGTGCTGCCTCTCCCTCACAGCAGCACCCTGAGTCTCTCGGGCCCCAGCACTCGCAGCCCCCAGCCTGGCAGTGACCCCGAGTGCCAGACCTTTACCTGCTCGGGCAACTGCTCCAGTGGCAGCTCCTTTGCCTCTGTGTCTCACAGCTAAGAGGGAAAAAGGCAGGAGGGCAGGACAGAAAAGAGAAAGAGGAAAAGGAAAACGAAGAGGAAGAGGACAGGGAAGGTGGAAGAGGGAAGGAAGCAGCGCTGCCCGCGTTGCCCACCTGCCACCAGCGTTGCTCACCTGCCCACGGTGCCCGGTTGACTGGAATGGTCCCACGGTGCTCGGTGGACTGGAATGGTTCTGCGGTGCCCGATGGACTGGAAAGGTCCCGCGGTGCCCGGTGGTCTGCAATGGTCCCGATGCTCGCCCCGGGGCCGCCCCGTCCCAGGCACGCCCGGGCCGGAGGCAGAGGGCTGAGCGCGACTCTTCATCCGGGCGGTCAGACACAGCAAGGGGGGCACGGGACAGAAGTGGGGGTCCCAGCCGCGGTACCAGGGGGGTTCCAGAGTGTGGGGTCACGGCGGACAATTGCGAGGGTCCTGTTGTGTACCGAAGAGTCACGGCACGGCAGCCAAACCAGAGCCCTGTGTGGCTGTCGAAGCTTAACCCCAGCCAGCCCCAAGCACCTCGCAGCTGCTTGCTCATCACCGCCACCCCTCCACCCCCCACCGGGACCGGGGACAGAATGGAACGGTAAAAACTAGAAAACTTATGGGTTGAAATAAACAGTTTAATAGGGAAAGCAAAAAGCCGTGCACGCAAGCAAAGCAAACCCGGGAATTCCGTCCCTGCTTCCCGCGGGCAGGGAGGGGTTCAGCTCCTCCAAGAGAGCGGGACTCCTGCAGACGGGACAGACGCGAGAAGAGAAACGCCATCATTCCAAATGTCCCCTCCTTTGTCCATTCCTGTTATGTCACACGGCCTGGGATATCCCATTGGTTCTGTTGGGGTCACTTGTCCCTCCCACGTCTCCTCCCAACCTCCCACACACTCCCAAATCCCTCCCCAGTATGGCTGTGCGAGTGCTTGCAAATGCCTCGGCTCTAGGCAAACTCAACGCGAAAAAAACCTCTGTATCATCAACCTCGTGTTTGGCACAAAACGAAAACACAGCCACAGAGCAGCCCCTGGGAGGAAAATTACCCCTGTCCCAGCCCAAAGCAGCACAATGACCAAGAGCTGTGAGGAGTCCTGAGGAGGAGAAATCAGCTCAGGGGTCCCCAGCTGGCCCTGCCTAAGCATAGGGTCCCCACCATTCCCCTAACAAGGGGGAGCACCCCACGGAGAAGCAGATCCCCCAGATCTCACCTCCCTGCTGCCATCAGGTGTCCCCACGCCCAGGGCAGTGCAGGCAGCAGGGCCACACGGGCACCCCTGGACCTGGACCCTGCTCCCATGACCACCCCAGGCCCTGGACATGGGCACTGCCCTGGGAGGCCAAAGCTCAGGATGCTGGGGAAATACTGTGCTGCCTTGTTTACCAACACTGCTGCAGAATGTGTGTATTTGAGGTAAATAATAGAGAGAATGCCGAAACTGAAACTCAGCTGAGTGTGGGGAGAGCCCTGAGGTCACACGTGGGGCACAGTACAGATCACAGACCACTTTGTCAGCGGCACAAGGTGATACAAACACGGTTTATAACAAAGCCCTCAATGCCTGGATGAGAGCTAGTGGCCACAGTGAAGCCAGAGGTTGTGCAGGGGCTGTGGAGAGCACCTCCTGCCCACCCCCCGTCCCATTCTCAGCCTGTGCCCGGTGCAGCCCAGGCAGAGGCACTGCCCTGATGGCTCCTGTGCCCGCAGCCACCCCACTGCTCCTCATGCTTGGAGCCATGGCCAGCCCATGTGTGCCTCGGACCCAGAGCCCCTCAGTGGCTGGAGGACGCTCATGCTGGTGTTTTGGAGGGAGTCTGCCCATTGTGGGTGATGGGATGCTCCAGGATGTAGCCAAAGCTCAGTGGTTTGGGCTAAGGGGGCAGCCCACCAAGGGTCTCCCCAGTCTGTGCCAGGGAGTTGGCCTGCAGTGTGCTCTGCTCCCTGAGCACACCCAGCCCCTTTCTGCTCTCCCTTTCCACCTCTGACCACTGCTGCCAGTGGACACAGGAGTTCTTGCCACAGAGCAGTCACCTCCCTGCACAGTCCTCAGCCCTGACTCCTACCTCAGCAGTCCTTGGCGCTTCCCACCACATTGGGGATTTATCCCTTTGCTAGTTTTCAGTTGGGTTCAGACCACTGAAGGGTTCAAGGGCTGATTTGGCTCTACAGGAAGCCCAGGGTACAACTCAGTGTTCTCCCCCAGCAAAGCCCAACTCTCCACCCTCCCCACTCACCAATTCGGAGACTGAATCCAAAATACTTGAAATTCATGGAGAAGTTGATGGTCTCACCTCTTGCCAGTGCTGCAGGGAAGGCAGAGGAACTTTAGTGTACTTGCTGTGACCCACATATCCCCCTGCCACCAGCACCAGAACCGGCCTCCCCAAAAGCACCCAGGGACCAGAGCGGGGAGTGAGGGCTGGGGGTGCAGGGACAGGGACACCCATGGGCGGCAGGAGAGGAACAGTGTGCAGGGCTGCAGCAGCGGGGACAGGCAGAATTCCAGGCCAGAGCTGCCCCTTCCCTCTCAGCAGCACAACCAGCACAGCTGAGTGCTGCTCATCCAATGCCAGACTCTCACCTACAAGTGCAGGTCTAATCATGATTCCAACGAGGAATGCAGCAACAAGTAGAAAAATGTCTAAGAAGGAAAATGACAGATGAGCAGGAGTTGGGCACTAAACCTCCTCCTGGCTGGAGCCCAGTGCCCTGTGCCAGGCAGGGCAGGTTCCCTCTGGCAGCTCTCCCAGCAGTGCCCTCCTTCAGCCCTTCAGACACTCAAAGGGGTGAACCCCAGGGTCCCCGTGCTCCCCCCACATTGTCCCACTGCCGGTCCCGTGTCCCGGACACCACGAGCCACCCAACTTACCCATGGTGGGCTGGCCGGGAGCAAGAGCTGCACTGGGTCCTCTGTGAGCCTGGTCCTTCGAGAAAGGAGAACAGAATGTTTTTCCGTGGGCAGTGGGTGGGGCTGGCAGGGCTTGGGTGTCCTGTACAATCGTGTTCAGCCACGCCTGTGCCACCCAGGAGCCCTCTGTCCCCACCACAAGCACAGAACCCTCAGACTCTGCCCAGGCTCCAGCCCCGCCCAGGGCTTGGTGGTTGCTCCACCGATACAGCGAGGGGAGCAGCCCCCCGTTGCTGTCCCCCCACCTCAGAGAAAGGCTGCTGTCCCCAAACACCCACTGTGGGAGCACAGCACCCCACACCACCAACCTGTCCTGTGTGTGCTGTGCTCTGAGGGTCAAAGTGCTGCAGGAAAAATATCAACAGGAAATGTCAGGACAGGTAATTTCCCTGAAGTTGCTCAGTCACTGAGTTTCAGTTTCATTCTCATCAACTCTTGATGTTGCTGTCTCTGCTGGAGCAGGGCTGGGGCTCCCCCATCTCCAGGACATTGGACCTTGGGGTTGTCCCTGCAGGGAGCCTGTGGCTTTCTACTGTGGGGAACTGCGAGGAAATCTTTTAAATATAGATTATCTGGAAGGAGTTAGGTTAATCGAGACAACAGTGTATCTGAAAACAGTTTATTGATAACAAAAAACAAACAAAAAAAGAAGATACCTTACTAAAAAGTGCCAGGAAAGACGGAGAGAGGAAAATGGAAAAGGAGTGGGGAGAGAGAGGAAGCCAGGGACAAAAAGCGGGAGTGAGCAGCAGCAGATCGGGCAGCGCCGTCGGTGCTCACAGGACGCGGGATGCGCTGCGGCTCCCGGCCGGACACGCGGGGAGTGAGCGGGAGCCGGGGCAGGAGCTGGGGGAGCCGGGACAGGGCACGGCGGGGATCGGGCGGCACGGCGGGCTGGGACGGAGGCGGACGGGGTGGGACACAGGCGGCTGAGGCAGGAACACACGGACGGAGCGGCAGGGCGGCGGGCAGGGACACGGGGAGGCGGGACAGACGCCAGCGGGGGAGAGAAGCCGGCAGAGGAGAAGAGCCAAAAAGGCAGGCTGGAGCCAGGGCAAAAAGCGGGCTGGGGTCATGGGGCCAGGGCAAAGAAGCATAGATATTCGGCAGGCTGGAGCCAAAGTGAAAACGCCAGGCTCAGAGGCCCCAAAATTGAAAAAGCCATAGAGCTTATGGTGCAAGCCATGCCCCCTCCAGGATGCTCTGGCAGCAGCCCAGGAGCTCCCCCTTGGCTGGTCCCCAGGCATCCAGCCCTGAGGATCCCAGACACGGCTCCCAGGAGCCAAGACAAGTGCCCAGCCCAGCAGGAGCAGTGGGGCACAGCGTGTCTGGCAGGAGCAGCTCCCCTGTCCCACCCCAAATCAAAGAGAGTGGGTGTCCTGAGCCCGAGGCTGCAGAGATGCACCCACTGCACCCCTGGGGCTCTGCCGGCCCTGCAGTGCAGTGCCATGCTGCCCTGAGCATTTGCTGCAGCAGTGCCGGGCTCCCAGGGACTGCCAGGACTGTCAGGCTGCAGTGGGAGCCAGCCCCTGGCTGGGCAGGGGGACAGGGAGCAAGGCTGGAAACACTGCCTGCTGCAATCCCTTCCTGGAGCACGGGAAATGCCCAGCTGTGGGGCAGGAACCTGAGCCATGATGCACATCAAGCACCACCACACACACCCTTATCAGCAATGCACTTTTATTAAAACTTTCAAAGCATTGATTGATTGAAGCCATCCAAATCTGTTAAAGGGGCAGCTGCTGGTCAGTGGATGCATTCTAGTCCATGCTGTGGGAAGAAATGAAGCAGGCTGCTTGGAAGGAAGGAAATCGCCTTCTGTTCACTGGCCATGGTAATCAGGCTTTCTTCTTGTGGTGACCAAGGCATTGGCTGCAGCCTGTGCGGCTGACCCTTTGTTTCCCCCCTGTAAAGACAGGAGAGTCATGTCCCAGAAGCATCGAGGCTGCCTGCTGATGGACAAGCACAAGGCAGGCACAGCCAAAAATGTGCCTCCAGCAAGGGTCTCCCCAGTCTCTGCCAGAGAGTTGGCTTGCAGGGAGCTCTGCTCCATGAGCACATCCGGCCCCTTTCTGCTCTCCCTTTCTGCCTCCAACCACTGCTGCCAGTGGACACAGGAGTTTTTGCCACAGAGAAGTCACCTGCCTGCACAGCCCCTGCTGCCCTCAGCCCCAGCCTCTACCCCAGCAGGTCCTGGCTCTTCCCACTACCTTGAGATGGATCCCTTTGCCACACTTTGGGCACATTCAGAGCAGTGATGGGTTCAAGGGCTGCTTTGGCTTCTGAGTAAGCCCAGGGCACAACCCCGTGTTCCACCCAGCACAGCCCAGTCCCCCTTACCTCCCCACGCACCAACTTCAAAAGAGAAGGAAAAAGATCCCTTGCTTATTTTCATGGCTATCTTCTCTTTGCATAGTGCTGCTCCAGGAAAAATAGAGAAGCATTTAGGGTCCCCTCTGTGACCCACATGTCCCCCTGCCACCAGCACCAGAACCGGCCTCCCCAAAAGCACCCAGGGACCAGAGCAGGGAGCGAGGGCTGCAGGTGCAGGGACAGGGACACCCATGGGCGGCAGGAGAGGAACAGTGTGCAGGGCTGCAGCAGCGGGGGCAGGCAGAATTCCAGGCAGCAGCCAGAGCTGCCCCTTCCCTCTCAGCAGCACCCCCAGAATTGAAGCTGAGTGCTGCTCATCTCATGCCAAAGTCTCACTTGTAAGTAGAAATCCCATGATGAGTCCCACAAGGAATGCAATCACGAGTAGCTGAAAGCCTAAGATGGAAAATGACAAATGGGAGTGAGGGCTGGGGGTGCAGGGACAGGGACACCCATGGGCGGCAGGAGAGGAACAGTGTGCAGGGCTGCAGCAGCGGGGGCAGGCAGAATTCCAGGCAGCAGCCAGAGCTGCCCCTTCCCTCTCAGCAGCACCCCCAGAATTGAAGCTGAGTGCTGCTCATCTCATGCCAAAGTCTCACTTGTAAGTAGAAATCCCATGATGAGTCCCACAAGGAATGCAATCACGAGTAGCTGAAAGCCTAAGATGGAAAATGACAAATGGCCAGATGTGTGGGCCATAAAGCCCCTCTCAGCTGGATCCCAGCCCACTGTGCCAGGCAGGGCAGGTTCCCTCTGGCAGCAGCCGCTCTCCCAGCACCGCCCTCCTTCAGCCCTGCAGACACCCGGGAGGAGAGGGGAGAAGGGACGAACCCCAGGGTCTCTCTGCCTCCCCATCTGTCCTCATGCATATCCTGTGTCCCTCACCCCATGAGTCACCCAACTTACCCATGGTGGTGGGAGCGAGAGCTGCGATGTGTCTGCTCTAATCCCGGTGCCTTGAGAAGAAAGAACGAGATGTTTTTCCATGGGCGGCTGGTGGGGTCAGCGGGGCTTTGCCACCTTGCAGCATCACACCAACCACCCCTTTCCCACCCAGGAGATCCTGGCCATGCCATAAAAGCAGAGACTCCTCAGCCCCCGCCCAGGCTCCTGCCCAGCCCATGGCTCTCCCATGTGTAAACAAAGGAGGCAGGGACTCAGACCTGCAGGGATACTGAGAGATTTATTGGGAGATAGGAGCTGGTTTTATACCCTTCTTCAAGACCCACTATTTCCTTGTAAGTTTTTTTCACTATGTAACCTATCAAACATTGCCACATCAGCAACCTTCTTAAAGCTTTATTATCATCCTTCTATGGGATGATCTCGTGCTGTTCAGGTGTCTGGAAGATTCCGGCAGGCTCCTCTCCTTAGGCCGTTCACCAAGTGGCATTTCTTCCCAAGGCCAGGAGAGACAAGCTTCTCTGTGCTGCCATGGCATTCTGCAGGCACATCCCACAGCCTGTAACTCCGTTTTAGCTTACCTCTCTCCACTGGTGCAGGGAGGGGAGCAGCCCCCCCGTCACTGTCCCTCCTACCCAGAGAAAGGCTGCTGTCCCCAAACACCCACTGTGGGAGCACAGCACCCCACACCACCAACCTGTCCTGTGTGTGCTGTGCTCTGAGGGTCAAAGTGCTGCAGGAAAGATCCCAAAAGGGAATGTCAGGACAGGTAAATCCCGAGAAATTGCTCAATCGCTGAGTTTCAGTTTCATTCTCATCAAATCTGGACGCTGCTGTCTCTGCTGGAGCAGGGCTGGGGCTCCCCCATCTCCAGGACATTGGACCTTGGGGATGTCTCTGCAGGGATCCTGTGGCTTTCCACTGTGGGGAACTTGGAGGAATTATTTTAAAAATAGATGATCTGGAAGGATGTCAACAGAGACAACAGTGTGTCTGAAAACAGTTTATTGATAAAGAAAAAAGCAAACAGCACAAGATGTTACCCTACAAAAAAGTGCTAGGAAAGACAGAGAAGCAGAAAGGAAAATGGAAAAGGAGTGGGGGGAGATTGAGAGAGAGGAAGCCAGAGACAAAAAAGGGAGAGTGAGCAGCAGCAGATTAGGGGAGTGCTGTGATGCTCACAGGATGCAGGAGAGAGCCTACCAGGGCAGAAGAGCCAAAAGGCATGCTGGAACCGGGGCAAAAATGCCAGGCTCAGAGGCCCCCAAACCCAAAAAGCCCCCAAGTCACCAAGACCCAAAAGCAAAAGCACAAAAAATCCCCCCAATCAGACAGCCCCCAGCCAAAGAGCAGGTCTCCAAACCCCCAGAGCTTGTGGTGCAAGCCATGCTCCCTCCAGGATGCTCTGGCAGCAGCCCAGGAGCTCCCCCTTGGCTGGTCCCCAGGCATCCAGCCCTGAGGATCCAGACACGGCTCCCAGGAGCCAAGACAAGTGCCCAGCCCAGCAGGAGCAGTGGGGCACAGCGTGTCTGGCAGGAGCAGCTCCCCTGTCCCACCCCAAATCAAAGAGAGTGGGTGTCCTGAGCCTGAGGCTGCAGAGATGCACCTGAAATAAATAGGGCAGGAGATCTTTCTCCTTTTTAATGCCTTGATTAAAAAGAATCAGCTCATAGGCAGGCGCCATTGGGCTGGGGGCGCAGGGCACGGGGCTGTCCCTCTGCCAGCCGTGTCCTCCAGCCCCAGTGAGATCCTGCAAGGAGCCAGTGGCCATGGTGAAACCCGAGACTGGGCAGGGGTTCTGGGGAGCACCTCCTGCCCTCCCCCAGGGCCTCTCTCCGGTGCAGCCCAGGCAGAGGCACTGCCCTGATGGCCCCTGTGCCCGCAGCCACCCTGCAGCTCCTCGTGCTCGGAGCCATGGCCAGCCCGTGTGTGCCTCGAACCCAGAGCCCCTGGGTGTCTGCAGAGTGTTCAGGCTGGTGTTTTGGGGGGTTTTGGCAGCCCTTTGAGGGTGATGGGATACTCCAGGATGCAGACCAGGCTCAGTGGTTTGGTCTGTGGGTGAACCTGTGAAGCTGCACCTGCGAGAAGGGGGCACAGCCAAGGGCCGTGTCCTGTGAGACAACACGGGCCAGCACGGATGGGTGGCAAGGGTGGGTGCCTATGCTTGGAACCACTTCCAAAGGGGAATCCCCCTGAGCCCTGGCTCTTGGCTTGGCAAGGGTTCCCCCTGCTGCTGCTGCTGCTGCTGCTGTTGTGCTGGGTCAGGATGCACCAACTCATTCCCCTTCCCCCTGCATCCCCCAAAACCCCCAGACTCCACATCCTCATATCTTCCATGTGCCAGAGCAGTGGTTCAGACTGGTACACATGAAGCAAGTGTAGGGGGGCACCCACCTCCTACACCCACGTGCCCCTGCCCATCTCGTTTGAGGGGCCAGGAGGAGGACACAGGACCCTGGGCCCCTCTCACCCCCTCCCCACCCCCTCCCCACACGGCAGCTCTGGACTGGGAAGGCTGGAGGTGCCTTTGCCCATGGGAGGAGGGATTCAGCTGGGAGCTTGACAGTGTAAGGGAGCTGTGGGGGCTTCCCATGCCCAGCACAGTTTGGCAACAGCAGGGTGACAGAGGGGATGCACCCTGACTTCAGTGACCTTCCCAGCCCCAAATCTGCAGTTGGAATGGGACAATGGCAGGTACAGGGAGTGTTTCTGGGTTCCCAGGCCTGCCCCCTCTCAGGACAGGGAAGTGAGGGGTGCGTGGGGGTCTGGTTGTGGGCAGGAGGGGCTGGCTGGATATGGCGTGGCCGTGACTCAGCACTGGGAGCTGTGGCCACACACACCGCAGCTCCCTGCAAGGAGCCCCTGGGTGCCAAATACAGCCTCACGTCACCAGCCCAGCTCACAGCAGCCACAGGCAGCAGAGTCACTGCTCAGTGCCATCCCTGAGACACCAGCCATTGCTGTGGGGCACAGCATGACACAGAGGATGCTCTGGCAGCAGCCCAGGAGCTCCCCCATGGCTGGTCCCCAGGCATCCAGCCCTGAGGATCCAGACACGGCTCCCAGGAGCCAAGACAAGTGCCCAGCCCAGCAGGAGCAGTGGGGCACAGCGTGTCTGGCAGGAGCAGCTCCCCTGTCCCACCCCAAATCAAAGAGAGTGGGTGTCCTGAGCCCGAGGCTGCAGAGATGCACCCACTGCACCCCTGGGGCTCTGCCGGCCCTGCAGTGCAGTGCCATGCTGCCCTGAGCATTTGCTGCAGCAGTGCCGGGCTCCCAGGGACTGCCAGGACTGTCAGGCTGCAGTGGGAGCCAGCCCCTGGCTGGGCAGGGGGACAGGGAGCAAGGCTGGAAACACTGCCTGCTGCAATCCCTTCCTGGAGCACGGGAAATGCCCAGCTGTGGGGCAGGAACCTGAGCCATGACACGCACCAAGCAACTCATTTGGGCATTATGAGGCAGAGTTCCACAGGATGCTTTGCAGCCCCGTGATGAAAGGTGCTATAAAACTGCAAAGTGTTACTTCAGAAGATGTAACTGGAACAGCAGTGCATCATCACCTATATTAAACAGACAATTTTTAATACGAGAATTTATAGAGTTCAATGTATGGTATTCATAGGTGAATAATGGAGACCCTCAAAAGAGTTTTTGTTTCAATCCTATCTGTATTCTGGAAGAGTGATTAAAAACCTTTAAACTTAATAATAGAGTGCAGCTATTTTCAGCCATGCCCAACCCATGTTGGCCTCAGACCCAGAACCCCTCAGTGGGTGGAGGATGCTCAGGCTGGTGTTTTGGAGGATGGCTGCCCTTTGTGGGTGATGGGATACTCCAGGATGCAGCTGAGGATCAGTGGTTTGGGCTACGGGGGCTTAATACAGGCTGCTAGGTCTCCCCAGGGTCTCCCCAGTCTCTGCCAGAGATTTGGCCTGCAGTGTGCTCTGCTCCATGAGAACACGCAGCCCCTTTCTACTCTCCATATCCACCTCTGACCAGTGCTGCCAGTGGACACAGGAGTTTTTCCCACAGAACCGTCACCTGCCTGCACAGCCCCTGATGCATTCAGACCTAACACCTACCCCAGCAGGTCCTGACTTTTCCCACCACATTGGGATTGATTCCTTTCCCACAGTTACCTTCAGACCAGTGATGGATTCAAGGGCTGCTTTGGCTTCCGAGTAAGCCCAGGGCACAACCCCGTGTTCCACCCAGCACAGCCCAGCCCCCCTGCCCTCCCCACTCACCCTCAGAGCTGTGATCCTTTACTGCTGCTCCTGCAAGGGAGGACAAAACAGCATTAGGGTGCCCTCTGTGACCCACATTGTCCCCCTGCCACCAGCACCAGAACCAGCCTCCCCAAAAGCACCCAGGGACCAGAGCGGGGAGTGAGGGCTGGGGGTGCAGGGACAGGGACACCCATGGGCGGCAGGAGAGGAACAGTGTGCAGGGCTGCAGCAGCGGGGACAGGCAGAATTCCAGGCCAGAGCTGCCCCTTCCCTCCCAGCAGCACAACCAGCAAACCTGAGCACTGCTCACCCCGTGCCAAATTCTTACCTACAACTGTACATCCAGTGACGAGCAGAGTGATGATTGCAACGGTGACTACATTTGTACCTAAGAAGAAAAACGGCAGAAGGGCAGCAGTGTGGGCACTAAAGCCCCTCTCAGCTGCAGCCCAGTGCCCTGTGCCAGGCAGGGCAGGTTCCCTCTGGCAGCAGCCGCTCTCCCAGCACCGCCCTCCTTCAGCCCTGCAGACACCCGGGAGGAGAGGGGAGAAGGGGCGAACCCCAGGGTCTCTGTGCCCCCCGCGAGCTGCCCCTGTCAGGACCCAAGGCTCCCACCCCACGAGTCTCACAGCTTACCCATGGTTATCCGGACAGGAGCGAGAGCTGCGATGAGTCTGCTCTAATCCCGGTCCCCTGGGAAACGAGAACGAGATTTTTTTTGCATAGGCAGCAGGTGGGGTCAGCGGGGCTTTGCTGCCCTGCGCGATCGCCCCCATCAACCTCTCTCCCACCCAAGAGACCCCTCCCCTCACAAGAAGAGACCCCCTCCTCCAAGCCCAAGCTCCTGCCCGGCCCAGGGCTCGCTGGCTGCTCTGCGTGGTGGTGGTGCAGCGAGGTGAGCAGCCCCCCATGACTGTCCCCCCTCAGAGAAAGGCTGCTGTCCCCAAACACGCACCGCGGCTCCTCACATCAACCTCTCGGGTGTGTTGTGCTCTGAGGAGCCAATTGCTGCAGGAAACGTAGAGGTGCGTGTGGCCGGTCAGCTGATTTCCGATAAATCAGCAAGGAAAACGCTCGCTCAGTTTCGTTTCTGCTTAAGTCTTGATGTTGCTGCCTGCTGCAGTCCCTTTCTGGAGCACGGCAAATCCCCAGCTGTGGGGCAGGAACCTGAGCCATGATGCACATCAAGCACCACCACACACACCCACACCCGCAATGCACTTTTATTAAAGATTTCAAAGCATTGGATTGATCAAGGCAATCCTAATTTTTTATGGGTCAGCTGTGGGTCACTGGTGGCTTTCTGCTGCTTCTCTTTCCCCCAGCTAGCTGATGACAAGGTGTGGGGGGGGGGGGGGGGGGGGGGTAGATTCCCCCTGGAGCTCCGTTGAATCTCATGTGTCAAATGTTTTGGCGCCTTATAAAACACAGGGAAGCACACGGGTCCAAGGGTAACTTTATTTGATGGTAAACTTCCCCTTTTCCTCTCCCAGGACCCCGATCAAGGGGCAAACAAAAACTTATATGTGTGGGCAGGTCTCAGGGGAAGGTACAATCGTCAACAAATCAGGAGAATTGGGAGTAAAAACAAGGCAAGGATCACAAAATATGAACCAATAAAATTCCAAGGGAAGAAAAACAGTTTCAGTAAACTGCTAAAGTCTGGAGAAACAGAAACTAGCTGAAAAAATAACTGGGAAAAGGTGGAGACAAAAGGAAAACAGCATAAAGAAATCAACCAAATTACAAATCAAACCATAAACCTACTAATAAAACAAAAAGCACAATACAACAGCTTTCCAGTTCCTGCAGTGGGAAGACATCAATCAGACCTCTTGGAAGGAAGGAAATCTGTTTCTGTCCACTAGCCATGGTAATCAGGAGTCCTTCTTCAGGACCTCATTGTATGGGCTGCACTTTGGAGGATCGTCCTCTTGTTTTTCCCCTGTAAAGACAGGAGAGTCTTGTCCCAGAAGCATCGAGGCTGCCTGCTGATGGACAAGCGCAAGGCAGGCAACGCCAAAAATGTCTCTCCAGCAAGGGTCTCCCTGGTCTCTGCCAGAGAGCTGGCTTGCAGGGAGCTCTGTTTCCTGAGCACACCCTACCCCTTTCTGCTCTCCTTTTCCGCCTCTGACCACTACCAGTTGACACAGTCGTTCTTGCACAGAGCAGTCACCTGCCTGCACAGCCCCTGCTGCCCTCAGCAGTGACTCCTACCCCAGCACGTCCTGGCTCTTCCCACTACCTTGGGATGGATCCCTTTGCCACACTTTGGGCACATTCAGACCAGTGATGGCTTCAAGGGCTGCTTTGGCTTCAGAGTAAGCCCAGGGCACAACCCCGTGTTCCACCCAGCACAGCCCAGCCCCCCTGCCCTCCCCACTCACCAACACAGAGATGCAGACCCGTGGAATTTATAGTGAAGTCCACGGGCTTATTCCTTGCCAGTGCTGCAGGGAGGGCAGAGCAGCATTAGTGTCCCCTCTGTGACCCACATGTCCCCCTGCCACCAGCACCAGAACCGGCCTCCCCAAAAGCACCCAGGGACCAGAGCAGGGAGCGAGGGCTGGGGGTGCAGGGACAGGGACACCCATGGGCGGCAGGAGAGGAACAGTGTGCAGGGCTGCAGCAGCGGGGGCAGGCAGAATTCCAGGCAGCGGCCAGAGCTGCCTTTTCCCCCTCAGCAGCACCACAAGACAAGCTGACTGTTCAGCCCTGCAGACCCCCGGGAGGAGAGGGGAGAAGGGGCGAACCCCAGGGTCTCTGTGCCCCCCCCCCCGGGCTGTCCCACTGCAGATCCCGCGCCCCCCACCCCACGAGCCACCCAACTTACCCATGGTGGGCTGGGCGGGAGCAAGAGCTGCGATGTGTCTGCTCTAATCCCGGTCCCTTGGTAAGCAAGAACAAGATATTTTTGCATAAGCGGCAGGTGGGGTCAGCGGGGCTTTGCTGCCCTGCACGATCGCCCCCAGCCACCTCCCTCCCACCCAAGAGCCCCCGGCCCCATCCCTCACAAGAAGAGACCCCCCAGCCCCCGCGCAAGCTTCTGCCCGTCCCATGGACCAGCGGCTGCACCGCCGGCGCAGAGAAGTGAGCAGCCCCCCGTTAATGTCCCCCCCCAGCCCCTCCCAGAAAAAAGGCTGCTGTCCCCAAACACCCACCGTGGGACCGCGGCTCCTCGACGTCTGGTGTGTGTTTTGTGGTCTGAGGGGGCTATTGGCGCCCGAAAATATGTTGACCCACCCCTGCCCCTCCCGCCAGGAGGGGCTGGGGTGAGTCAACTGATTTCCGAGAATTTGTGGAATCGCTCGCTCAGGTTGCTTTCTGTTTAAGCAAGGGATGTTGCTGTCTTTGCTAGAGCAGGACTGAGGCTGTCCCATCCTCGGGGTGCATATGGGCATATGGAGAAGTATGTAGGGATGGGAGGGAGAGGCAGGCGCCATTGGGCTGGGGGTGCAGGGCACGGGGCTGTCCCTCTGCCAGCCGTGTCCTCCAGCCCCAGTGAGATCCTGCAAGGAGCCAGTGGCCATGGTGAAACCCGAGACTGGGCAGGGGTTCTGGGGAGCACCTCCTGCCCTCCCCCAGGGCCTCTCTCCGGTGCAGCCCAGGCAGAGGCACTGCCCTGATGGCCCCTGTGCCCGCAGCCACCCTGCAGCTCCTCGTGCTCGGAGCCATGGCCAGCCCGTGTGTGCCTCGAACCCAGAGCCCCTGGGTGTCTGCAGAGTGTTCAGGCTGGTGTTTTGGGGGGTTTTGGCAGCCCTTTGAGGGTGATGGGATACTCCAGGATGCAGACCAGGCTCAGTGGTTTGGTCTGTGGGTGAACCTGTGAAGCTGCACCTGCAAGAAGGGGGCACAGCCAAGGGCCGTGTCCTGTGAAACAACACAGGCCAGCACAGATGATGGATGTCAGAGGTGGGAACATGTGCTTGGAGCCACTTCCAAAGGGGAATCCTCCTTGGCTGTAGCTCTTCACTTGGCAGGGGTCTATCCTGATGCTGCTGCTGCTGCTGCTCTGAGCCAGGATGTGCCAAGTCATTCCCCTGCAACCCTGCACCCTGCAGGAACCCCAAATTCCACATGTACCTGTCCATTTGTCAGAGCAGTGGTTGAGGGTTGGAGCAGCTGGGCCAGCGTAGGGGGACAACCACCTCCCACAGCCCCATGCCCCTGCCCACCTCATTTGCAGTGATTCAGCACAGGGAGCCACGGCCACACGTGCCACAGCTCCCTGCAAGGTGCCCCAGGTGCCAAGTGAAGCCTCACTTCGCTGGCCCTGCTCACAGCACCCACAGGCAGCAGAGTCACTGCTCATGCCACCCCCGAGACACCAACCATTGCTGTGAGCCACCACTGTGGCTGCCACCACAGCCATGCCCCCCCAGGATGCTCTGGCAGCAGCCCAGGAGCTCCCCCATGGCTGGTCCCCAGGGATCCAGCCCTGAGGATCCAGACACGGCTCCTAGGAGCCAAGACAAGTGCCCAGCCCAGCAGGAGCAGTGGGGCACAGCGTGTCTGGCAGGAGCAGCTCCCCTGTCCCACCCCAAATCAAAGAGAGTGGGTGTCCTGAGCCCGAGGCTGCAGAGATGTACCCACTGCACCCCTGGGGCTCTGCCGGCCCTGCAGTGCAGTGCCATGCTGCCCTGAGCATTTGCTGCAGCAGTGCCGGGCTCCCAGGGACTGCCAGGACTGTCAGGCTGCAGTGGGAGCCAGCCCCTGGCTGGGCAGGGGGACAGGGAGCAAGGCTGGAAACACTGCCTGCTGCAATCCCTTCCTGGAGCACGGGAAATGCCCAGCTGTGGGGCAGGAACCTGAGCCACAATGCACATCAACCACCACCACACAGACACACCGGCACTGTTCATTTATTGCTTATTTATTGCTTAATGCCAAATCATTTATAGCAGAAGCTGTGGGAGGGATTGGACTTTCCAGCGCTGGCCATTTGAAGATGAATCCATGTGCTTGGAAGGAAGGAATCTTGCTTTTGCTCCCTTGCATTGAACATAGGGAGCTGTTTCTGTGCCAGGATGCAATCAGCTGCTGCTCAGAGGGCAGAGTCAGGCCATTGATGCTGCCCCTGCAAAGACAGAAGTGTGATGTTCAGGAGCATCGACGACACTGCCCGCTGAAGGACAAGCATGAGGCAGGGACAGCCAAGGACTCCTCCTGGGCAGGAGAGGCAAGGGTCTCCATGGACGGTGCCAGGGAGTTGGCCTGCAGTGAGCTCTGCTCTCTGAGACCATCTAACCACTTTCTGCTTTCACTTTCTGCCTCCAACCAGTGCTGCCAGTAGACACAGGATTTCTTGCCACAGAGCAGTCACCTCCCTGCACAAGCCCTGCTGCCCTCAGCCCTGACCACCAGCCAGCAGGTCCTGACTTTTCCCTCCACGCAGGGGGTTTATCACTTTCCCACAGTTTGAGGAGATTTGAACCAGTGAGGAGTTAAAGAACTGGTATGGCTTTAGAGCAAGCGCAGGGTGCAACCCCATGTTCCCTGCCAGCACAGCCATCTCCCCTGCCCTCCCCACTCACCGACTGTGAAAATGAAGGCAGCAGCCTTGGTCTTGCTAACCCCTGCTGCAGCTATGGCTACTGGTGCACCACTTGCCACGGCTGCAGGGAGAACAGCACAGAGTTAGGAGCTTGCTATGACCCACATGTCCCCCTGCCACCAGCTCAGGAGAATTGGGAGTAAAAACAAGGCAAGGATCACAAAGTATGAACCAATAAAACTTCAAGGGAAGAAAAACAGTTTCAGTAAACTGCTAAAGTCTGGAGAAACAGAAACTAGCTGAAAAAATAACTGGGAAAAGGTGGAGACAAAAGGAAAACAGCATAAAGAAATCAACCAAATTACAAATCAAACCATAAACCTACTAATAAAACAAAAAGCACAATACAACAGCTTTCCAGTTCCTGCAGTGGGAAGACATCAATCAGACCTCTTGGAAGGAAGGAAATCTGTTTCTGTCCACTAGCCATGGTAATCAGGAGTCCTTCTTCAGGACCTCATTGTATGGGCTGCACTTTGGAGGATCGTCCTCTTGTTTTTCCCCTGTAAAGACAGGAGAGTCTTGTCCCAGAAGCATCGAGGCTGCCTGCTGATGGACAAGCGCAAGGCAGGCAACGCCAAAAATGTCTCTCCAGCAAGGGTCTCCCTGGTCTCTGCCAGAGAGCTGGCTTGCAGGGAGCTCTGTTTCCTGAGCACACCCTACCCCTTTCTGCTCTCCTTTTCCGCCTCTGACCACTACCAGTTGACACAGTCGTTCTTGCACAGAGAAGTCACCTGCCTGCACAGCCCCTGCTGCCCTCAGCAGTGACTCCTACCCCAGCACGTCCTGGCTCTTCCCACTACCTTGGGATGGATCCCTTTGCCACACTTTGGGCACATTCAGACCAGTGATGGCTTCAAGGGCTGCTTTGGCTTCAGAGTAAGCCCAGGGCACAACCCCGTGTTCCACCCAGCACAGCCCAGCCCCCCTGCCCTCCCCACTCACCAACACAGAGATGCAGACCCGTGGAATTTATAGTGAAGTCCACGGGCTTATTCCTTGCCAGTGCTGCAGGGAGGGCAGAGCAGCATTAGTGTCCCCTCTGTGACCCACATGTCCCCCTGCCACCAGCACCAGAACCGGCCTCCCCAAAAGCACCCAGGGACCAGAGCAGGGAGCGAGGGCTGGGGGTGCAGGGACAGGGACACCCATGGGCGGCAGGAGAGGAACAGTGTGCAGGGCTGCAGCAGCGGGGGCAGGCAGAATTCCAGGCAGCGGCCAGAGCTGCCTTTTCCCCCTCAGCAGCACCACAAGACAAGCTGACTGCTGCTCATCTCGTGACAAACTCTCACCTGTAAGTGCAACGCCTATGACGAGTCCTGCAAGAAATACCACGGCAACTGGAAGAAAGCCTAAGAAAGAAAATGGCAGCTGGGCAGGAGTGCGGGCACTAAAGCTCCTCCCGGCTGGAGCCCAGTGCCCTGTGCCAGGCAGGGCAGGTTCCCTCTGGCCGCAGCCGCTCTCCCAGAGCCTCCCTCCTTCAGCCCTGCAGACACCCGGGAGGAGAGGGGAGAAGGGGCGAACCCCAGGGTCTCTGTGCCCCCCCAGTTCTGTCCTACATCAGCGCCCACAGCCCCCACCCCACGAGCCATGCAACTTACCCATGGTCGGCTGGCTGGGAGTAAGAGCTGCGATGAGTCTGCTCTAATCCCAGTACCTTGGTAAGCAAGAACAAGATTTTTTTTCTGCAGGCAGCAGGTGGGGTCAGCGGGGCTTTTCTGCCCTGCACGATCGCCCCCAGCCACCCCTCTCCCACCCAGCTGGCCGCCCACCGCACCTTAAAAACAGAGATCCCCCCATTCCCTGCCCAAGCTCCTGCCCGCCCCAGGGCTCGGTGGCTGCTCTGAGTGGTGGTGGCCCGGTGAGGGGAGCAGCCCCCCATGACTGTCCCCCCCTCAGAGAAAGGCTGCTGTCCCCAAACACGCACCGTGGGACCGCGGCTCCCCTCGCCACCAGCCTCTGTTGTGTCTGTTGTGCTGGGAGGAAGGAAGGGAAACGGCCGAATATATCCCGACCGGGAGGGGAGGGGTGGATCACCAGATATTCCAGAATTTTCTGAAACCGCTCGTTCAGTTTCACTTTCGGGTTAACTCTTGATGTGGCTGTCTCTGCTAGAGCGGCGCTGGAGCTCTCCCGTGCTCGGGTTCCCACCCTGGGCTGTCCCCTCAGGAGCCCTTTCGGCCCGAAGGGCTCGGGCGGGAGCGCCGGGAGCTGAGGGGGAAGGCCGCGCCGGGCTGGGGCGGCTCAGGCCTGTGCCAGGGCTCCTGCGGCTTCACGGGGCGCTTCCCCGGCAGCTTTGGGAACGCTGAAACCCCGCGGCTCTAACCACCACCCACAGGAGACCGGAGAGCAGATCTGAAGCCGCTCTGCCTGCCTCCTCCCCACTGGGCAGCCTCAAAAACCAGCCGAAGCCCCTCTCCGCACCCCGCTCTGTCCCGCTCCCGGCAGCCGCTCCTCAGCCCCAGCCCGCTCGGGGCAGCACGGCGGCAGCGGTCAGGGCCAGCGGTGCCGTAGCTCATGCGCCGCTGCAGCTGGTTGAAGGGGACCAAATCCAGTTGCAAGTTGATCTGGTTCCTTTTTACCAGCCCCAGGGGACGCATCGTCTCTCCGGAGGTGCCGTCTGGCCACTGCTGGTGATGGGGGCTCCTGCTGTGGGGGTCCCAGCCCAAAAATACATACTTCTTAACATTCCATAACACCGGCCGGCTCCATATGGGCATATGAAGAAGTATGTAGGGATGGGAGGGAGAGGCAGGCGCCATGGGTCTGGGGGCGCAGGGCACGGGGCTGTCCCTCTGCCAGCCGTGTCCTCCAGCCCCAGTGAGATCCTGCAAGGAGCCAGTGGCCATGGTGAAACCCGAGACTGGGCAGGGGTTCTGGGGAGCACCTCCTGCCCTCCCCCAGGGCCTCTCTCCGGTGCAGCCCAGGCAGAGGCACTGCCCTGATGGCCCCTGTGCCCGCAGCCACCCTGCAGCTCCTCGTGCTCGGAGCCATGGCCAGCCCGTGTGTGCCTCGAACCCAGAGCCCCTGGGTGTCTGCAGAGTGTTCAGGCTGGTGTTTTGGGGGGTTTTGGCAGCCCTTTGAGGGTGATGGGATACTCCAGGATGCAGACCAGGCTCAGTGGTTTGGTCTGTGGGTGAACCTGTGAAGCTGCACCTGCGAGAAGGGGGCACAGCCAAGGGCCGTGTCCTGTGAGACAACACGGGCCAGCACGGATGGGTGGCAAGGGTGGGTGCCTATGCTTGGAACCACTTCCAAAGGGGAATCCCCCTGAGCCCTGGCTCTTGGCTTGGCAAGGGTTCCCCCTGCTGCTGCTGCTGCTGCTGCTGTTGTGCTGGGTCAGGATGCACCAACTCATTCCCCTTCCCCCTGCATCCCCCAAAACCCCCAGACTCCACATCCTCATATCTTCCATGTGCCAGAGCAGTGGTTCAGACTGGTACACATGAAGCAAGTGTAGGGGGGCACCCACCTCCTACACCCACGTGCCCCTGCCCATCTCGTTTGAGGGGCCAGGAGGAGGACACAGGACCCTGGGCCCCTCTCACCCCCTCCCCACCCCCTCCCCACACGGCAGCTCTGGACTGGGAAGGCTGGAGGTGCCTTTGCCCATGGGAGGAGGGATTCAGCTGGGAGCTTGACAGTGTAAGGGAGCTGTGGGGGCTTCCCATGCCCAGCACAGTTTGGCAACAGCAGGGTGACAGAGGGGATGCACCCTGACTTCAGTGACCTTCCCAGCCCCAAATCTGCAGTTGGAATGGGACAATGGCAGGTACAGGGAGTGTTTCTGGGTTCCCAGGCCTGCCCCCTCTCAGGACAGGGAAGTGAGGGGTGCGTGGGGGTCTGGTTGTGGGCAGGAGGGGCTGGCTGGATATGGCGTGGCCGTGACTCAGCACTGGGAGCTGTGGCCACACACACCGCAGCTCCCTGCAAGGAGCCCCTGGGTGCCAAATACAGCCTCACGTCACCAGCCCAGCTCACAGCAGCCACAGGCAGCAGAGTCACTGCTCAGTGCCATCCCTGAGACACCAGCCATTGCTGTGGGGCACAGCATGACACAGAGGATGCTCTGGCAGCAGCCCAGGAGCTCCCCCATGGCTGGTCCCCAGGCATCCAGCCCTGAGGATCCAGACACGGCTCCCAGGAGCCAAGACAAGTGCCCAGCCCAGCAGGAGCAGTGGGGCACAGCGTGTCTGGCAGGAGCAGCTCCCCTGTCCCACCCCAAATCAAAGAGAGTGGGTGTCCTGAGCCCGAGGCTGCAGAGATGCACCCACTGCACCCCTGGGGCTCTGCCGGCCCTGCAGTGCAGTGCCATGCTGCCCTGAGCATTTGCTGCAGCAGTGCCGGGCTCCCAGGGACTGCCAGGACCAAAAGCTCAGAGTTGAACCCACCCTGAAACTGCTAAGCCAGGGCTCTCACATCGCAGCCGAGTTCATCTCCAGTCACCTCGGCTGACCTTGGGCAGTCTCCCAGTATCAGAGCGTGTGGGTGTATTAGAGACACCCCAGCCCAAGTGGCCCATGCAGCCCCAGCCCATGGCACTGTTCCCACAGCCCTCGGCCAGGCTCTCCCAGTGACCTTGGAGGGCTGCACCCAGCTCCACGGGATGCTCACTGCATCCGGGCTGCCTCGTGTCCCTGCTCCAGCCCGGGTCCCCCCTGCCTGTTTCCACCACCCCTCCTTGCCCCTGCCCTGTTCCACAGACCGGTCCTTCCCCACTGCCCTCTCTGTGCCCAGAAATTCCCTGTCATCACCACCAACCCCTCTGCAGCCCTGGGTGTGCCCCCCACCACCGAAGGCATGCCTGAGCTCTCCCCAGCCCCAGCGCTGCATTTTGCAGCTGTAGACCCCGAGCCGAAACCCACCAGGGAGCTGTGGCCTGGGGCAGCCCCTCTTCCACGAATTCTCCATGCCCGCAGACTGGCTGTGAGTCCCCGGCCATGGCAGCTGCCCGTGTTCTCCACCTGCCCCGAGAGCAGCTCCGTGCCCGGGCAGGGTGGTTTGTGGGCACCAGACGGCTTTGCAGGGGGAGGCAAAGGCGCCGGGGGGCTGCCGGGGCCGGCCGCAGTGGCACCCTCGCGTCCGCAGGCACCCAACAACCCCAGCTTGGCTATAAAAGGAAGAGTCTTTTTTTTCCCCCGGCTCCGCCAGCGCCGCGTCCCTGGCCGAGCTCTGCAGCCGCTGCTCCGCAGGGACCTTTCCAAGTTTTCCCATCCAGAGCTGCCCCCCCAGCCAGTTTCCCCCGGCTCATCCATCCCCGGCAAACCCACTGCAGCAGCTGCTGAGTGTCTTATAAAATACCAAGAGGCCCGGCAAGCAGGAGAGAGGTGGATGCAAGGGGAGCCCTGGCACAGGGTGCCTGGGGGAGCACCCTGGCTCCCGTCCTGCCGTCCCTTTGCCCGCGGCATTGCCCGTGTCGGGGCGGTGGGCGCATGACCCTGGTGCACCCGGCCGTGGTGGCCAGCACTTCCCTCCGTGCGAGCCCAAAATGCGATGCCGAGGTGCCCAGAAGTTGGGTTTCTCAACCTATCCCACAGGCGTGGGGTGTCCCCACTTTGCGTGGCGGAGGGCGCCTGGGCTCCCTGGGGAGGGGGTGACCGGCCCCGGTGCAGGGGGACACCCGCAGGCAGAAGGGCCGGGTGCTGCCCGCAGAGCCCGAGCATTCACCACCCAGGACCCCTCTGCAGCCGGGACCTGCTGCGGGCCCCATTGTCCCCCCAGCCACACAGAGACTTTCTGCCACCTCCCGCTCCTCCGCCTGACCCGGGCTGGCCCCAAGCAGGGGGGGCTGCGGTGTCCCCCTCCCCAGGGTGTCCCCTCCCCGCCCACGCCGAGCCGCTGCCGGCGCCCCGCAGCAGGAGCATCCCCGGCCCCGGCGGGCTCAGCACCGGCCGGGCTCGCTGAAGGTTAAACCTTGGCGGCGGGGAAAGCCCCGCTGCCCCCCGCAGACCCCGCACCTCCCGCCCGCAAGGCCACTCACGGTCCTGGAGGTGACACCGGCCGCAGCACGCTGGGCTGGCGGCAGCGAGCTGCGGTGACACCCGGCACGAGCACGCTGCTTCCCTGCTCGCCTTGACTTTGCCACAGGACTCCTCCGGCTCGTCCGCAGGAGCTTGCAGCATCCTCCAGTTCAGCGGGAGAAGTTCCTCGCCAGGGAGGGAGGGAGGAGGGAGGGATTTAAGGCAGACCCTGCCGGGGATGCAACATCTACGGGTGCAGTTGAAGACCCCTCACTCGCTGGGCACCCCAAAGCTCCCTCCTCGCTCTCCCCATCCTGGTCTCGGTGTCCCGGCACATGTGCCCGATTCTGGGTGATCTCTGCTGAGAAACCCTCTCCCTCCCGGACAGAGACAGGGCTGCCAGCAGCACGCAGACAGCCGGCCAGCTCTGCCACCTGCCCCACATCCCCCGGGTGCCCGGCGGTGCCCAAAGCCACGTCGTGGAGGAGCCGACACACACCGCTGGGCCCAGCAGCAGCCCAGGGCAGCTCGAGGGCAAAACGGAGCTCGTGGAGTGCACAAAAGGGTAAAACCTGTCACCACCTCAGCCACACGAGATTCCCATGGCCAGGTGACCCCGTGGGGATGGGGATCCCTGGGTTGCTCCAAGCCACCCGCCTGGGGTGTCCCCAACACCCACGGGGCAGTTGTTCCAGCATCCCCAGCCGCCAAGTCCGGGGGTACAGGGCTGCTCTGCACACCCGGAGCCCCGCCTGTCCTACCTGCAGAGAGCTGGCAGGGCAAGGGGCACCCCCTGCCCGGGGCAGGATGCTGGGAGACACCTTAGCGTGGTTCCCAAAGGGAAAAGCCAGGACAAGCAGCGTGGCATCCCTCCCGCGGCGGTCCCGGCGGCTCCCTGCCTGCCACGACACCCTCCCCACCCCGGGTGCGCTCTGTTTGCCTGCTATTTTTGGCAGCCTCCTAAGAGCTCCTCTCAGGCTATTAATAATGAGAGTGAGAAATTCGTTTGGCCTCTCCTATATAAGGAAAGGTAGAGGCTTAGAGGCAGCTAAATATACTGGCGCGTGCGGGAGCGAGCGGGGAGCCTTTGGCACCGCGTGTGGAAAAGAGATTGTTTGAACAATGGAAAGACGGACTCACTCGGAGCACGGGGCCCCGCCTGGACCGACGGGCGGACGGAGGGATGGACGGAGGGTGACGGTGCCCGCGGGCCTCCACCGCAGCACCCGCATCGCCCCCGATGCCCCCCGGGGCTCTGCCTCAGCAGGAGGAGCAGCGGGAGAGGGGAGGCAGGAGCAGGGATGCTCTGCAATTCCTGCCCCGAGCCAGGCACGCCACCCCAAAATGCTGTAACAACCCCTAGCGGGCCAGCAGCGAGCCGGGGAGTGACGCTGGGTCTGTGCCCGGTCAGGAGGGACGTGAGGGTGGCGGGCAGCAGGTGGGCTGTGGTGGGGCGACCAGTTCCCACGGGGACATGACCGGCACAGGGTCGGTCCCCCAGCTGAGCCCCCGCAAACCCCGGCCCCTCTCAGGGCCGTGACCAACGCTCCTGCCCGGCTCTCGATGCCCCGGGGGCATCTCCCGCGGCCGGGCGTGGAGGTGCCACATCGTGGCATTTCTGGCACTTCTGCAGGGTGCCAGCGGTACCACAATGTGTCCCCAGCTCCCCGGGAGCCACCAGCACGCCTGCAGCGTGCCCAAACCCTCGGCACAGGATAATTTACGGAGCACATCGTTATTGTAACTGCGTCCCCGCCGTGGTTACGGGAGACCCGGGCGAGGTGCGGGAGCTCCCGTCAGGGAGAGCCCGGCTGGAAGAAGGAAAGCAGCAGCAATCCAGGGAATCCTAATGACAGGAAGGCGCTGGGGAGCAGCGCCAAATCCACACGGTCGGAGCAAGGACAGCACATGCAGCAGGATGAGTACAAAGAGAGGAAAAACCAGGCTCCTCTGGCTCCGGAAAGAGCCTTTGGGTTTTTTTAACTCTTCGCAGCCACGGGTGCTGCTTAGGGAGGCACAAGTGGTGTAGCTGCGACTGCAACCCCGACCTCCCCGCCTGGCCTCGGTGCCTGCGGCCAAATCCCGGCACCCGAGGGACTGCGGGGCTTCCCCGGGCTGCTGAGCCACCAAACAGAGGGACAGCCGTGCTGGGCAGAGCCCTCGAGCTGCTGCCTTGGCCACCGTCACAGCTGCCTCAGTTTCTTGAGCTGCGAAATTCCAGCAATAAAAATCCATTTCACAGATTGTGAGCCTGGGGCTGCTCTGAGGCTCCAGCCCAGGCCCTGATCCCCCCCTGGGGATGTGACACAGACCAAAAACTGCTGGAGGCAGGAGCAGCTCTTTGCCCTCAGGGCTGTGAGAAGCCCCATTCTCCTCTGCTGGCGCTGCCCCGGGGCTGCTGCAAGTTCTCCCCACCCAGCAAGCAGAGCCCGCAGCTGGGGAGCTCAGCAGATCCGGCTTCCTCTGTCCTTAGGTGACATTGAGGGAAGTGAACTCAGAGGCTCCATCCCACCCCATGGGCCACGTGAACTGTGCACGGACAGAAGGGCAACTCTGAAGGTGAATGTCCTCCCCTCTCCGAAAAATCTGTGTCCAGTGCCATCGGGTCCCTCCTGGTGGCCGTGGTGCTAAAGTGTGCTCCCTACACAGCCAGCCCCAGCAAGAGCTGGGTGGCCACAGCCATGTCCTTCAAGGACTCCACGAACTAATAAATGTTCCCCTGCTGCATGAGGAGGTGCTGCTATGCAGGTGTGGGGCAGATGCTGTTTTGCTTTCCTGTGAAATCAAGTCTTAGGTGAGAACTGTGCCACAGCTGAAACTGGACAAAGAATCAAAACATCTTCCCATTTGCAAGAAACATCTTCCCATTTGCAAGAACCATTTTGTTAAAAAAAAAAAATTTTAGCCTTGACCCAAGTAGCAGTGGAATCACCAAACATCATTAACCAAAGTGCAGACAGATTGGGCACCCCCAGCTGTGCAGCAGGATGTGGAAAAGATTTAAGAGCAAACTATTTCAAAAGTAGAATTTGCCTCAAACATCTTCACCAGCACTTGAGAATATGTTAAAGGAAACAAAACTGAGTGAAGGTGCTGGTTCATCTAAGAGATGTCTCAGCCTTTAACTTCCACACGTGGGCAACTTGTAGCCAGTGTCTAATTGTGAAATCATAAAGCATAGCAATGCAGAAACCTTCCTGAGCAAGGTCACGCTCACGGCGCTCGGGTAACAAACCAGCAGCAAAATTAGTGACACTGGGAGAGGAGGAGAGCAGGGAAAGGGATTCCAAAACCCCAGAAAGCTCTGTGCACACACCTGGGGAGGGCTGTGCTCCTGGGGCACTGCAGCAGACAGCCCACCCTGCTCCTACCTTTGGCCAGAAGTTCCCACCTTCAGCCTGGGGGGTCTCCTCAGCTCTGTCAGCCCCACATGTCCTTGCGCCCCCCAAAGCTGGGGTGCAGAGCCTGTCCCCATTCCTGAAGGCTTGGTGGCACTGAGGGTTAACACGTGGAGGGGCAAGAGGCTGCACAGCCAGGGAATACTAATGGGAGCCAGGAATCTAATGTGAGCTTGTGCTGTGCTGTCACAAACCTGCACTCAGAGATGGCAAGTGACTACGAGCCACTGGGCAGGGAGGGAAGGCCAAAGCCCTCCCCAAAGCCCAAACTTGGGTTGGGGTGCAGCCCCTCAGTACAGCACCCCCACCTGAAGGGCTGTGACCCCACAGTGAAACACAGGGCTGAAGGAAACAACCACAGCTGAACAAAGGTGTTGGAGGTAACAGCTGCACGGATTGTAATTCCCTCTGCTGTAACAAGCAGCCAGGCTCACTGGAAAGCTCACCCTGGGTCTGTTGGAGAAGGGCACTGACCCCTGCAGCAATGTCCAATGACTGAGCCCCCACCTGCTGCTGGGGACCCTCCCTGGGATGGGCAGGAGCAAGGGGCTCAAAAAGCACAATCCCCAAAGATCAGAACCTGGCAGAGCCCAACAGCTCCCTTCTCCCAGCACAAAGTGCTCCCAGGTACAGCCTCAAGGCCACACCTGGTCAATCCCTGCAGCTTCAAACCCTCCTATTCCCACAGTTTGTTCACTTACATCCAAATGAAGGCACACACAGAGAGTGGTGTCACCCAGGAGAGTTAAGTGTGTGGCCATGGGACAGCCAGCGCTGGGCTGTGCCCTCTGAGGAGCACCCCAGGGTCCATCCCCTCCCCATGTGTGGTCCTGGGTGGTTTGGAGGGAAGGAGCCCTGGGCAGGACGGGTGCAGGAACCGCCAGGAAGGGGAAGCCTGAGCCAAGCCCCAGCTGCGTGCCAGACAGCCCAGGCAGAGGGTGGCCCGTGCTGTGACACCAGCAAATGCCATGGCCTCAGCACTGGGAGAGCTGCAAGCTCCAGTGCTGGGCCTGAGGAACAGCTGATTGCCCAAAAAATAAACTCAGCAGCAGCCAGGACTACATTCAGTGAGGGAACACCCCCTCACGTTCAATAGTGTTTAATCTTCATCTAGCTCAACACAAATCAGTAGTGCAGCAATATAAATACAACTGAGGAACTTAAAGCCTTTTGGCTTTCATAGCTCAATAAGAAGAAAAAAAAAGCCAATGAAACCAGTTTCCAGTTTTTAAATTAAACACAAAGAAAGGCAATGAACTGCCCACCCATCCCCAGAGAAGCAGTGGCATCCTTCATGCCAGCACGAGGCTGAGCTCTGCCCGAGGACAGGGTGCAACTCACGACAGCAGCACAGTGAGATAAGGGAGTGGGAATGGGAAAGGACCCCCTGGCTGCCCTTGAGCTCAGGCAGAAGGGACAGTGACATGCTGTGCCACGTGCTGCTGGCACTGCCCACCACCCCTGGGTACCCAGAGTTCCCTTTTCCACCACAAAAGGACACCACGTGTGCTCTTGACACTGTGACAGGAGCACACAGGGCTCTGCAGCCACAACAGCACAAGGCCAGTGAGCTGCCAGCCTGAGGGAGCAGCCAGCTGGGGACTGCAGAGACCAATCCCCGTTACCTGGGGTGTGCAAATTTTAAGGGGAAAAAAAAAAACCCAAACCAAAAAACCACAGTACATAGTGTTCCATAACTGAGATATGGATGACGTCCAGCCTCATGGACGGCCTGGTGACCAACAGAAGGTGCTGGGGCCACAGAACATGTCACAGCTTTGGAATGAAGCCAGACATTGGACACAGGTACCAAAGGTGGGTGTGTGTCCCCCCAGCTCTGGCACCAAGCAGGACTTTGCTGCAGGAGGGGGTCTCCCAGCCTGGGCAGTAACCACAGGTCAGCTTTTCACACATGAACAGGCACCAAGTCCCAGCACTGCCCACGAGAGCAGCAGTGATTTGGAACAGCCACAAAACCCTCTCCTACCTGCAAACTGCCAGAATGTTTACATTCCCCCTCCTCTAGAACCCAACAGCAGCCAAGTGCATGTGAAAGGACAAGTCTACATTAAAATAGTGCTCAAACCATTAGGGAAGGTGGGAGTAAAGGAGAAGAAAGCTGTTGGACAGCACAAGTAGCCTGTGGTAGGCTATGGGAGCCTGAAGGGAGCTCAGAGCAAAGCTCAAGGACTTGACTTTCCTTCTCAAGGCAAGTGAGCTGGAAGTCCACAGGTGCTCCCCCCATGGCAGTCTGAGGTGGCTTAGGAAGGTCCTGCACATTCACAGTTGCTCCAAGTGGTTCTGTCCTGCCCTCTCCAGATGCCAGCTCCATCCTTTTCTGACTCTTCTCCTGGGGTTCACAGTTGCCTTCTCCTCCCTTTGATTTCCCTTGAAGTTCAAATTCAAGTACAACCAGTTTTAACTGAATGAAAAGAAACCCACAAAACCAAAGTTATTTTCTGTGAAACGAGTTAGCAGCGTTGTCCTAATCAAAGTGGCCTCCAAGGGCCCTGGTAGGACAGGGACGGGATTGGCCTTCCCTGCTGAGCTCCAGCCAAGGCTGCCCAAGGGGAGCTATAGGATTTCCTCCCTCTGGTTCTTGGCTTTGAGGGTCAGCTGTCCGTTGCGCAAGGAGCCGTTCTGGCTGCGGAGCAGTTTCCCTTTTTCCCGGTCAGGCCACGTGAAGATGGCTTCATCACTGTCCAGCTCGGACTCTGAGTGCATCAGACTCGTGTTGAGGACTTGGGCTTTCTGTCTGCCACCTTGAAGGGGAAACATTCCCAGGTTAGAAATTCTTTTAACAGCAGTGAGCACCTCACCTGCTCCATCCCCTCTAAGTCTCCTTTTCTGATCACGTCTAAGAGGCAGCAGAATCTGACTTTCCTCTGTGTGTCTCTTATTCCCTGTGATGTTGAAGCCAAAGTGATCCTGTCTCAGACACTCTGGCATGTCAGAGGTCACAACAACACTCCAAGACAGCACAAAGCACAACAAGCAGACAGGAAGGCAATGATGTCACCAGAAGGGGCTGTGAGTACACGTGGGAGCTCTGTCTCCCTGACCCTGCACAGGGCATTGCCTAGAAAATGCTTGGAGGGCTCACAATTGGAGTAAGAGAATATGCAGGTGTGAGGGAAGATCTCTGCCATTTCACTACCCTCTCCCTACTCTCCTTTCTGCTACTCCTGCCTGCAAGGGAAGAGAGATAAATTAGCAGGATGAATTTAGATTAATGCACAAGGACAAGAGACATTTACTGATATTGTCAGCAGAGGAAATATTTAAATTTAGCTTTTCCTTAATGGAGAAATGCAACATTTCCTCGGTTAGCAGAAAGCTCCCTGGACATATCTAGCAGGGAAAAAGACTTCAGTCAGCAGCCAGCCCCAGAAACAGCAAGATGAGTTTAGTTACCAGAGAGCAAATGGTGAGGCACATTTAGCACATCTATTGCACAGTGGGCTCTGAGGTGACAGATGGCCAGATTAAAGCAGAGTTGGGTGCTGAGGGAGGGAAACACACCCGGGTTTCCTGCAAGGGTATCAGTGTTTGAGAAGTTGGGACAGCCTGGTACTCAGAGGAACAGCTGATCAGTCTGTCACTGTAATGCCCTCCATGCTGCTCTTGGGCACTGCTCACTTTGCTGGAACACCATTAAATGGGATAATACCAGGATGAGCAGTCATTTTCTGCTAGCAAACAAGGATCAGGGACCCTTTTCCATGCACAGTTAACACATCCCCTTCTCTAAAAAAAACCAGGACATACTCTGGTATGAAACACACACGCAGCAGCTGCAGAGCTCCCTGGCATTCAGCAGGGCTGTACTTGGCACATCCTTCCCAACACTTCCCTCTTTTCCTGGTCAATCAGCAGGTGGCCATGGTTTGGTTCATGTATCAGATAAAAACACTCCAGGCCTGAAATAACTCCCTGATCTTTGCACAGCACTGACAAGCACTCTCAGGACAGCAATGCAGGCAGGAAAATGCTGGCTAAGAACACTGAAGACAAATCCTGTGTTTCTAGAGTGGGCCAACAGACTGACAAGCACTCTCAGGACAGCAATGCGGGCAGGAAAATGCTGGCTAAGAACACTGAAGACAAATCCTGTGTTTCTAGAATGAGCCAACGGACCTGTAGCCACATGGAGCACTGAGGAATTCATGGATCGCCCTCTGAAATGCACCTGCTAAGTGGAAAACTAGAGGATGAGCTAAAATGTGCAATTTTCACAGCCTGATGCACACAGGAGCAAGAATAAATAAGATGATGAACCAGTTGTTTGTGGTGGGTGAGTAGCAGAGCAGAAGTAAATTTCAATCTCTCCAGTACACAAGTATTTTGAGGTTATTCTCAGGTGTTGATCAGTTTAGTGTGATGTTTACTGCCACTGAATTCCTGCTTTGCTGTAGAGAATGACCAAAGAATTGTATACTGGCAAGAAGGGAACTACCAGAACCCAGGGGAAAACTCCAGAGCAGGAGAAGTTACAGTCAAGACCCAATTTTGGGCTTCTTGAGTTGGACTGTTCTGCACAGCTTAATGCATCCACTTCCTACTTCTAAGGTACCAAGTGGAGACATCAAGACCAGGCCAGTTTCAGCCCCAATTTCCAAACCTAAAAAGTTAGATGACTTTACTAAATATCCCATATACAGATCTGAGACAAGCTCTCAGATCTTCTGAGACCCCTCTGTCAGTCCCTACATCACGTTTGTTTCACTGTTATTTTAAGTCCACTGAGGAAGAGTCCTCAGTCAGCACTCTGGAAGTGCTGAGCTCTTCCCTCTCATGTTTTACCTGCTTTGGGATTTGGTTTTAACTCCAGGCTTTCTTGATCCGTTGCATCCAAAATCTTGTATTTGCTTTTTCTTTTGGATTTTCCTTTCCGTCTAAAGGGGAGAAAAAGGAATTAAAAAACAGTCCATTTCCAAAAGAGCCAGAAGAAAAACAACTCTGATCTTCAAAGCTAAAGCACTTGCTGTTTAGGATTATATTCACATTACAAAGTGAAACATTAAAATGTTGCTCAGTTGCACATTTATAGGTTAATCCAAATTTTGCTTCTTAACGTAACCCAGAGTTCTGGAACTTCAACATTTAACTTGAAACACTTGAGTGAGAAAACCCAGCACCCCAAGGCTCAGCAGATGACCTGTTGGGACAATGGGTTTAATCTTTAACCTCCTACTGGGGACACTTGGCTGTGAAACCTGGGTACAGCAGGGGTCTGGTCTCAGTCCCACCTCTTGCAGCAGCAGATCACCATCCACGACAAGATCCCGAAGGCAACCACGATGACAAAAGATGCAATGATCACATACAGCACACTCCACTCTGCAAGCAAAACCCCAGAGATAAACATGTCTTGGTACCTCGTACAACTGACAGTGCAGATTTTAGGGGACTGTTTTTGGGAAAGAAAAGGCAAGGCCTGCCTCTTTGCAGAATAGAGGCTGGCATTTCCCAGCACCACCAGATCCCCTTGGGAAGCTCAAGATGCAGTGTGTGGATTTGCTGAGCAGTATTCACTGTGTGCTGGTGTATAAAATTTGCTCTCCTGTGGCAGGACAGAGGTGACACAAGAGAGCTGTGATTTATACACCCAGAATAGACTCAACTCTTAGTGAGTGTTCACTGGGAGGGTGTGAAGGGAACTCACTCCCCTGTCAAACATCTGCCCAGAGGTGAGACAAGGGTCTGTGTCCTGGTGCCAGCATCTCAGCAGAGCAAAGGGGAGACAGCAGGTGCCCACCCTGGGTTTCAAACAGGGGTTCCTGTGCCAAGGTGCCCACCCTGGGGGGCTCACGTACCGCAGTTGCTCTCGCCGTCCCCCATCTGCACCCTGAGGAAGTTCTCCATCCAGAACGGGTCACACACGCAGCGCTTGGTGAAGGAGTCACAGCGCCCGTGCTCAGAGCAGTTCAGCTGACAGGCTGGGGGCCAAAACCAGCAAGGTGAATTAAATGACTCACAGGTGAGGCAAAAACGGGACAAAATAGTTCAGTACAGCCAACCCCTCCTGCAGGCTCTGACCTGAATGTGGCCCCTCTGTAGCTCATTCATAGCTCAGCGTAATCACAGGAGGTGAGAAGTGCAAACGTAAGCACCTGGGCCTCCTGCCAAACTGAAACATCCCACTTCACCAGCAACATACATTTTGCCTAATAAATCCTCATTTTGATATACAAGTTATGGAATTTATATATTAGTCAAGTAAATGTTTTTAAACGAAGTTTTGATTTTCCAATTCAAACCCCGCCTGTGAGACAGACGAGAAACAAACAGATCCTTTGGAGGCACCAAACAGAACTGAAAAATGGCTTCTGAAGGCCACAAAATGGTAAGACCAGGAAGTAATGAAAATAATTACTTTACACAATTCTAGTTTCAAATCTCTAACTGATCAGCAAATGATTCTCACAGGATGGATCTCATAAAAGAAAAGCAGTGCTAATGTAAACATGTAAAACAATGATGGAAGGGGAACATTTCCTGCAGACTGATGCTTGTGCTGCACAGGAAACAAGTGGGTTCACAGCTACCAAGATGTGCAGTTTATTGTTTTCAGGATGACACTCATTTCAGTGGCTGTAGTCCATTAACACTGTATTTTAGTTTCATAAGTATCAATCTGCTTTTGGTTTTGTGAACTCTTATCTTCACAGCAACGCTGCAAGTAATTATTTATAAGAAGTTGAATAGTGAATAGATGGAATTAATTGGTAAATAAGTGATTAGTGAATAGTCTAATAGACTTAATTTTCTGTTTCCCATTTATTAACATGAAAGCTCCTGCAGTGAGTGTAAGTGTGTGGGCATTTTTAGCACCTTTATTCTGTCAGGCAGCTGAAAAGAAGGTAAAAGATGTTCAGTCTGTCCCCAGAGACTCTCACTTACTGACTGTGTTAATCTCCAGGGCCCGGAAGATGAGGAAGTCTGACTGTTGTTTCCTCAGCTCGTTCTTCAGCGTCCAGGCCACCTCTCGTCCTTTGAATATCTGATGGGGAGGCTGGTTCTGCACAAAGAACACCATCTTCGTGCTGGAACAAAGGCAAGAATTATTAATTACCTACTGCTTCTCCAAACATCAGGTGGAGAGCCACACTCTCCAGTCTGTCATTAGAGGGACTTACTCAGAATCCCAAATTTATTTGAAGAACAGACTTCTGGCTCTGTTTGAAAGCAGTAATGGCAGACTTGGTCCTGCAGTTGAAACCCTTCAAGATATCTGATCCATTCATATTTTCCAAGCTAGGGCTGCACTATTCTTGAATTTGCACATCAAGCAGATCTTTGCATGTTCATGCTAAGCATCAAATCCCCAAACTTTAAGGTATTGCTGTTTTCATACTCTCCTTCCTTCCTCGCTGTGGGATTCTCAGACTTTACTACCCTGAAACTTGGTCCATTTACATGCTCAGCACAGAGCTCCAGCACCAGAGAGTGGAAGTGTACAGTCTTTTGCAAAGTTGAGTTTGAATGCACCCAGTGCTGTAGCCCAAAAACAACCCAGGTGTGAAGGATTCTGTATTCTGCAGCTTTACTGCATTAACTTTATGATAGAATAACTTGTTCCTCATGGCTTGCTCACCTTGCAGAGCCCTGTGGATCCTTTAGACTCACAATGGATGCAGAAATAGTTGGGATTTATTATCACTAGTGAGCTTATGAGTCAATGGCATATCAGTGAAACCCTCAGAGTATGTGAAAAAGAACAAATCAAGAGTCAGAGGAAAAAGCTCTTTTTTAAACAGCACAAGTTACTTTGACAGTGGAAGCAAAAATGGGATCTTAAAGCCATCTGTCAGGAAACAATCTCTGCTCCTTTATAACACTTCCCACTCTTTTGTCTGCTTGAACACATAAACAGATGAAGCATTAATGACAAGAATCCCTTACTTGCCTTACTCAGGGGCGACTGGCTTGCTCATGGCAGAGACAGAGAGCTACAGTTACAACAGAAAGTGCTGGCTCCTCTGTTCTCAGCTCTCTAGGTTTGCATGGACAATGAATTCTGATTTTCCTGCTACAGCAGGCCACGTGGACACAAAGGAATCAATAGATCAGAGCACTCAGCAGGTGTACAGTAACAGCAGATTTATTGCTGACTTGCTGCAGGACTTTAAGCATGTCCCTTAAATCTTCTTCAATGCTTTAGGTACTTTAAAACTACTCCCCTTTTAATAAAAACTAAGTGCAATATTACACTTGTTTCAACAGATTTCCACTCATGGCTTGTTGCCACTCTCCTGGTAGGCAATACCACCCTGACCTACACCCCTGTTCAACAGCCAACTTCCATGTGTTTAGGATAAATGCAGTTTTCTGTAAGCCAATTAGCAATCAAAATTAAGCTTTTTTATCTCTTCAAACAGAAATTACATTGGCTGTCAACATTTTTTCATACACTAACTTGAAGCAGTTATGTAGGCAATAAAGCTTCTACAGAATCAGTGGAAGATGTCCCTGCCTGGGGCTGTGTGGTTGGAACTGGATGATCCTTAAAGTCCCTTTCTACCCAATCCAGTCTGTGATTGTATGAGCTACCAATTTGGCACGAAGGTGAGGGGGATTGTTACACTCTGGTGTGTTGTGTTTCAGCAAACTCCTGCACCAAGCCCTGTTACTTCTCCAGCTGCAGAACATCCCTTCACACAGTGTCCACAATTTTCAAAAAACAAATCAGATTTGTTCTTATTTTACAGGTTTAAGGTGAAAATACATCAGCAGCAGCAGTTTTCAAGGGCAATGCACCAACTCCAGAGGGGAAAGATACTCAAGACCTGCTTGGCAACTCTGATCCGAGCAGGAATATCAACATTAAGCAACAACTCCACAAGTTCCAATGATCCAATCTGCTTTCCAGAAGGCCTTGATTTTCCAAACCCTCAAGCAATTCCTTGCTGTGTACCCTCCCAGATGAATCCCACCTTTGTTCAGTGTATGGCTGGATCTTTTGCACGGTGATGTCTGAGTCCAGGACTCCCAGCAGCACCCCAATCTGCCGGATGAACATCCCCTTCTGCCGCTCCGTCAGCTGGCTCACATTCACATCCAGAATTATCTCCACCAGGTTATTTTTCCTAGGATCTAGAGAGAATGTAGATAGTACAGATCTTCAGAGTTTCTATTTAGCAGCCTAGGCACAAGGCAGGTTTTTAGCTATCTTTTCAGGATGTTTCTGATTTGAACACAGAACTAAGTGGTACTTTCAGCAACTTGGCCTGTGAACTGCACAATGAGCCAATTTTGTTAAAAAAAAAAAACAAACGTGCAAAGCAATAACAGATCTTCATTTCTAGGTCTTGAAACAGACTTTGCATTAACAAACAGAAAAAGCTACTGCAAGTTGTTCATAGGCCTTTTCCTGAATTCCCTAAAACATTTCAGGGAATTTAGAGCGGAAGAGAACTCTGCCTCCTTTAAACAAACCACAAAAGCATCGAGTCAGGAGGCCCTGCTGTTGTTTGTTTACAGGGGTCAGTCTCTGACTGACCAAGCCCAAGCTCCATTTCTGTGAAAGGAAACACAGCTGAGCCACACCATGCTCAGAGTGGGAGCCACACCTAGAGATGAAGGCAAAGCTATTTCTCATGCTCAAAGAAAACTCCAATTCTTTCCAATCAAACATAAATCCTTGTCTTATTTAGGTCATTGGTAAAGCTTGTCAGGCCCCATGTGACCATGACTGAACACAAGGGAGGTGTGGGGGTGTTTGAAATGAAAGATTTGGATACACAAGCACACAGAAGGTGATACACACCGTGTTTTTTCCCAAAGATAGAAGACTATCTTCTGGTCATCTGAGCTCTTGCTGCCATCTAGAGTGGTGCTGTCCACAGGAAGAGTCAGTTCTTTATCTGGACCAGCATCTGCCTTTGGGGGCTTGTTGTTCTCTGGAAAAGAATGCAGGATTTCTCAAACACACACCATAAAGGTGAAGCTTAAAACACCACCATTAAGGTTTTCTCCATGATCCCCAGCACATCCCTTGCCCACTACCTTGTACTCAGATAAAGTGAGGTTAAAAGCAGTAAAGAAATCCCATAAGCATTTCATTCACACATCACAATAAAATGAGACTGAAAACTAGGAATTCTGATTTTTGCTCTCATTCTCTCAGTACTGTTCCACTTTTCCTGCCCTTGTCCCAGGACCCAGCACTGTGGGCAGACACAGCTGTTTGGAAATACAATCCTGCCTTTATTGTAAGAAAATATCAATTAGGTTACACTGTGTAAAATAAGAGAACAGTCCACAAAGGCAATATTCCTACAGGCTTTCTTCTGCTCATTTATCAGCAATATACCAGCCCAGAATGTTCCTAAATCAGAGCAGCTTTTCTGAAAGTCACTGTAAGATCTAGAGGTTGCTGACAGACTGCTGCTCACACCAACCCCTGGAAGGGAAGCAGCAACAGCAGGTAAAGGCAGCTTACCTGGCTGGACTATCACAGTGACCTCTGCAGTGGACTGGTGCCCAGCAGAATCAGTCACTATGAGCTGGTAGGTGTAATCACCTTCCTGCATTGCAGAGAGCTGCAAGACTGGTGTCCTCACACCCTGTGAGAAAAGATTTTCATGGATTAAAAGCAATCCTCATGCAGATAATGTTGGACCAGAAGACTCTGATTCTAAAGTAACTATTACCAGCACATTCTAGGGGGTTATTACCAAATCCTGCTATGGGAGCAGGAGTCTGTGCTATTTCAGCATGCAAAGCTCTTGCAGCTAAATTTATGCACACTACAAGGACACTGTTGTGGGACATAATAAAAGTAATGCCATACAAGCAGACCTCTAGGGATTCAGTGGTTCCCAACTCCAGTAAAATATCTGGGGAGCCCTGTGCAAATCCCACACATTGTGAACCTAATTCATGGACTTTCTTATTCTATACATCTGAAAGTAATAATCTTTAAAAGAAAAATGATGACACAGAAACAAGTTTCAACATTTACTGTTTAGCACTGAGAAGAGTCTGGCCAGTATCAGCAGAATTTAGACTCCAAGATTCAGCTCTAAAGTTCCCACCTCTCTCAATCCCCTTTCTTCAGCAGGTTTTAAAATTGCATTGCTCAAGAAAAGAACAGGATGCCAATGGTGAGGCTGGTGCACCAGCTCAGCCACTAAACCAACACCAGCTTCACAAGGATTTAACTTAATCATCACACATTTGCTCTGTATGATTCAAAAAGACATTTGCTAACAGTCCATTAAAACTGGTTTGATTATAGATAAAAGCCCAGCTAGTGAGCAGTCCAGGTGGAACACTGGAGACCTGCACTGACCTGCATCTCCATCACCTTCCCTTTGCTGTTGGGGCTGAGCAGCCACTCGTAGCTGACGATGCTGTGGTCGTCCGTGCTCTGGTTGCCGTAGAGCGTGATGGAGTTCTGGGGCAGGGTGATCACCTGGTTTGGGCCAGCATTGGCCACCGGAGGATAATCCACTGCCTTCTTCACAGTCAGGTTGGCAGTGGTGGAGTTGCTGGCACCATCTGAGTCCACGACTGTTAGACTAAAGAGGGAAAAAAGAAGTGAAAGCACTGGAAAGTGATGGTGACCAAAGCTGAATATAGCCTTATCTGAATAGAAACTTCCTCCAAATGTCCAATTATCAGCCTCAAAGTGATGCAAGGAATTAACAGTCACATCCATCTCCCACTTGAAATCTAACAGCCAGTTCCAAGGTGAAACACAGAAGTGCATTACTAACCCACAAGTGGCCTGGACACAGCACATCTCCTCAGGTAGGGTGGTACCACAAAACACAACTGCTTTTTGCTAAATCTACACCTGAACATGGATCTGATTAGTTCAGGCCAACTGCTTAACAAGAAAGCAGTGTTCAGTAAGAGGTACTCCAGGTCATTTTACTTTAAACAGAACTGCTGGTGCAGTGATGGACATCACACCAAAATACAGGCCAAAGGAAAAACACAGGACAAATACAAAAGTAAAATCAGCTACGACCTATTGCCCAGGTTGTGCACAAAACCACGAGACCTCATTCACTTATCTGAGACAAACACATTGCATTTAAAAACTGGATTTGAAGACTGCATTTCTTCCTAAGTCTTTACCCAAAGAGTTTAGATTTGACATTTCAAGAGACATTTTGTAGCACTGACAGAGCAGCCATCATCTTAACCAGGGCTACAAGTCAAGAATAAGAACTAGCTGGACAGTTTATCTCTCCTGAAGTGCAAAGCTACAAAACTACTTTAAAGTGTAGGAGTGGAGAGAGGGAACATCACAAAATGGAGTTCTCTCCATGTTTTGTGTTGGTGGTTTTTTTTTTTTTTCTTTTTAACCAGATAAACACTTCAGGAATCTCATCTATTTCACTCTTAAGGGATGAGAACTGATGGACTCTGCCAGGTGTGACCTACCTGAAAGTGTAATTCCCAGGTACCAGGTTGGTCAGTGTCAGTATGGGAGTGTCACTGGAGACCTTCTCCTCCCGCAGGGGACCCTTCAGCTCTTCCCAGTGGTAGCTGATAATTTTATCATCATCAGTGCTTTCTGTTTCAGTAATTGAGGAAAACACACACACACAAGGAGTTGGAAAATGCTGCTTCACAGATTCCAGATGGTCAGTCCCTACTTCTGCCCTGGACTTAGTGGGAAAAGATATTTTTGGTTGAAGCCCACAGTCTCTGTTATGCTCAGACACCCAAAATGTAACAAGTCAATCCTAGCTGGGGCTAAGACAACCTGAATTTGTATAAAGGAACTCCTGAAAAGCTCTAGTGCAGGCCAGGATCACTGAAGGTGTCCTGTCAGTAACTTACACATTTGAAGTTTAGCCAAGAGCCCAGTAATTTTGACAGTAATTTTTTTTTTTTTATTATTCTAAGCAGCAACCTCCAGAGCTTTTCCTTTTTTAGGAGATTGGCTCAGGCCAGTGTCCTTCAAAAGGAGCATGGAGAGGTGCTGTTGTGTGTTCTCTGCTCTCCTGGTCAGAGAGGCTAATTCTTTTCACTGAACTGTGTTTGCCAGTGTCACTGCTTCTCTTAACCTTTATGCAAAAGGCCAGCCCAGGACCAAACACAAAGCCCCCCTGCTGGATGCTGCACTTAAACCTGCAGGTACTCACTGCTGCCGTCGATAAGAGTGGAAATGGTTGGCAGGGAGATTTCCTGGAACTGTGGGGACACGATGGCAACAGGAGGCTGATTCACCCGGGGCTCTGCAACAACAAGCCAGCTGTTACCATGACACTACAGGCAGAAAGCCCTGGCCGAGGAACTGCAAAACTATCAGCAATTACCAGTGATTTGTGCTTCCAGCATGTTCTATACCAGCCTGGGGAATCAATGCTAGCAAAAGGGGAGCAGCCAGCACACCAGTGCTCTGGGAAGGCTGCACTGCATCAGTTTTTCCCTACTGGGTCAAGCACCTACAGCTTCTTGCCACAGTGTGGCTGCTGCTCTGGAAAGTGAAGGATTTTGGTGCATGCTGCCAGCTGCAAAGTCACTGCTTATAAGGAAATGATCAGCCACAGCACCCAGAAGACCAGCCACACATTTGCTAATTTAGGGAGTGCAAGAGCCCTTCTTTACCCACAAAGCTTGTACAAGAACTCTTGCTGAAGACTGCAAAATGAAGGGGTTTTATTGACACCTGTGGTTGTCTCTTTACACAGGCCACCTAAAAAGTGAGGCAGTCAGCACAAGATGCTGTACCTCATCTGCAGCTCATCTGCAAACCACACCTTAAAATATGGAATGAGATTTGACTTAACCTGCCTGTGGTTGGAATGATATTCCTTATGGACTGGAAAGAAAGGAACCTCCAAAGGAGCTTCAAAGCTCTGGCTTCTCTTCAGTTTTTGCTCCTGCTGCTATAAGCTTTTTGTCAGACTGCAGCTAGTTTTTATGGAAGCAGTGGCCTTTCAGGGTGAGGTGTTTGCTGAGCACTTCCCTATCAGGATCAGAGCTCTTTTATCAAGTGGTTGGCTTGATACAGTACAGCAAAAATAGCTGTGTGTTAGCAATAGCTTCTGATCTCAGGAAATTATTTAATATATACACATATATACGTGTGTGTGTGCATATATATATACATATATACACACATATGCTGCAAGTTCACAGCACAATGAACTATCACCACACCAAACCAAATAATCTAACCCCATGGTACAGCTGCCTTGGCATGTCACTGACAGGTGAAGTCAAGGAAAATCCAATCCCAGCACTCACTTGGATTCACTGTTACATTCACATATCCCTCTCCATGAGCATTCTCCCCATCCACAACGACTTTGAACTCGTACAGGCCAACAGTAAGCTGGAAACAAGCACAAAGGATTATTTACCTACAGGTCAGTGGCACCTTGTCAGGACCTATTGGAAGGTCAAGTTCCTGTGCTTTGGCACAGGAGCACACAGGCAATTGTGCTTCAGCCTCTGCATACACAGCAAAGGAGGGTTTCCAGGCCAAAATGGTATTACAGATATTTTAGTTTACAATGGCTATGCAGAAACCAAAGACTTGTATTTCTCTCTGCCACAGGATTGTCAGTCAAGCTTTATTTTCCAGCAACAAAAGGCAAACAGAAGAGAGATAACAGAGATTAGTTCAGGTTGTCTGGCCACAAGAATCTGAACTAGCAGATTGCATTTGAGGTGAAAAAGGCTGCATGCAAGAAGAAAATCTCTTCTTGTGTATTTTTATAAATGCAAGTGTTTCTTCTTTTCCTTCTAGGTGACATGAGCCAGGCAGTCACCTCTTCACCATCCACTGGATGGTGATAACAATCTTGATACCCAAAAGGCTGAAGCCCTGACAGAGACCTGCACACTCCTTTCCAAAGGTTTGGCTCTGCATAATATCCTTACTAAAGCCTGTAGATTTTTTTCTGAGTGCAGTAGAATCCAGGCTGCTCAAAGGAATGTCTCAAGTACAGAACTGTATATTCACAGTACTTAGAGTCATTTCCTTGTTAAGAATCCCCACGTTCAGGAACTGGCAACCCTTTCCCTGTTAGAGCTTGTCTGAGAGCAGCAGCCAGGGACATGCCACGAGGTACTGCAGGACTCTCATTAATGGAAGCAGCAAGACTCTCTTCCAGTGGGCAGTACAAGGCTCAGACCTAAACAGACTACCACACTGTTTCAGGAATATTCCCACCCCTCATTACTGTTAAATTGTGCCATTTGTGTGCCTTGTCACACTGCTTGTAGGCAGCTTGTACCTCCTGAAATCAATTTCTTCCTTCCCTCGTGCCAGATCAATCTCCTTTTGCTAAGAGCCTCAGAAGAGGGCTTGCAGTCAAATGTTGGCTGCCTGCCCATCATGCAATTTCCTATTCATCCTGAAATCCCATACAAGTTTTTCCTGGCTGCTGGGGTCCCCATCTTCTCCACCTGGCATTTAACACAACAAGATATGAAGTAGCCAAAGCTTTACCTTAGACAACTTCAGGGTCTGGGAGTGCTTCTCTGCCATTACTCCACTGTAGTCTTTTGGATGAGTAATCAACTCCCACTCATAGGAATATGTGGTTCCTTAAAAGAAAAAAAAAAGAAAAGGTCCAGATGTTTGTTTTCAAAGCCTGTCTTTCTGCCACGCTAAAGAACTGCAAAGGTATTAAACATTTACAAGGCACATTCTGCTGCACTGTGGAGAAATGAGACAGCTTGGGCTGTGGCTTTTTGGGAATATACCCAGGAAAAGAGACAATCTGTGCTTCTAAACTCATTTACTCTGGAATCAAAACCCATCTTTCAGCCTCCAAGGCAATAAAGAGCTTTGGAACAATCACAGCTCCAGGATAATAAGAGAGAAAAGCCTTATCACATCCTCAGATCCTGCAGACACAGGAATGCCACAGGAATTTTTGAACAGGAATGAATCAATCCCTGCTGCCACACAACATGGAACACACCTGCCTCTACAGCTCCCACTGCCACAGTGGACAGAGTTAAAATAAGAACTTTAAAAATACCTGCCAACAATTTGCATGATGAAATGAGGAGTGTATAGAATGTGTTCCTCAGCAGGCAAATACCCCAATTCAGATTTCAATCACTTGCTAATACAGCTCAGTTCCTATCAGCAAATATCAAGAATAGATGCTCAAAGTCCTAAAAGTCCAATTCTTCCTCACACACCACCCTGAGAATGTGCCATGTCTTCTCCCATCTCTTCCCACAATCTCCCAAATCCACTGGCTTTGCAGCACTTTCCATTTTTTTTGTGCCTCACTATTTTCTCTGAGAGGCAGCACAAGGTAATAGCTGAGTATGAAAAACTTTCACAGGAAAGTGCTCTCTGACAAAAGACATTTTCAGGACTGCCCTTACTACATGCCACACATAATGACTGTTTGCTTTTTCACATCCCAAACCCTTAGCAGAATTCCCAGGGAAGCTTTACCAGGTGGTGGTTCAGGGAGCACAAATGCATTCAGCTGAACTTCATTCTTTGGCAGGGTCACTTCAACACTGTCTCCAGCAGAAACCACCAGCTCCTTCATAGCTGAAAGAGATAAACACAGAATTGGAGAGGAACAGGGAAAAAAAAACCCACCTTGGTTTCAGTTTATGGAATAAACCCCAGCTACACATGATGATGTATTTTGTAAACATCCTGTTCCTCAAGAGCCCTCCCATTTCAGGTTTTGCTCTCCTTGTCAATGCACAAGCACTAATGGGGGTTTACAATTTTTAGACAAGCCCAAAATTACTCAGTCACCTCTGTCTTTGCAAATACTGTGCTGAAACATGGCCCTTGGGCCCTGCACAGGGAGTCTCTTCACCCAGGTCCAGCAGGATGGGAAGGGTTTTACCTGACAGCTTTTTGGCAGAGAACTCAGCTGCAGGCTCGTGGCACGGCAAGACAAACACTGCTACTTCCAAACTGCAATTCCAGAACTTCACAAATATATAAAGAATCCACAGAATTTCTTTTTTGAAAAACTGCTTGAGGGCTAAGAGAATTTTTTTAAACTAGCATAGCTGCCACTCTGGGTATGGAGGCTCAAGATACAAACCTGGTCCTTTTATTTGTATTTTCTTTTCCACCCCCACTGAAGAATTTTCTTGCCATTCCATTTCAAATAAACTGACAGGTTCCTTTTAAAAACTACAGGATAACCTTGAAAACTATAGCCAGGGACATATTTTTTCTGCTTTTTATTAGCATTAAGATAACCAGAAAGTTCAACACATTTCTTAAAAACACCTCTTGGCCTCCTCATCTCTCTCTTCCCTTCCCCTTTGCTTTATATTTGTCTTTTTATTATTGGACCTGGGAATTATGCATAGAAAATATTCTTTCTTTAGTTTGACCCTGTCAAAGACAATGTTTCAGAGGTATGCACAAAAAACCCAAATTAAAAAAATGGGAAAAAAGGACCTCAGACATTCAGCTATTTCCCCACCTTTATTATCTATTATTTATCTATCTTCCAATTTTTTAATAGCTAGTGGAATTAACCACTTTTTTTTTTCCCCTCTCAAATACTCCATCAATCTTTCACCTTCAAAGAGTTCCAAGGCAAAAACCAATCAGATCTCATTAGGAAATAATAAAAACAAAACCCAGACAAACAGATAAAAAACCTTGGAAAAACTACTCTTTACATCATCTTTGGATTGGTTAGCAAAACCAGGAGGCCCTGACAAACCAATGAAGATGTTTAAAGCATGTTTTCCAGTTTTAGCTGGGGTAAGCCCTTAAAATAAATAAATAAAAAAAAACATTAACTTGTCAGCGCAAGCAGCTTCCTGCCAAAACCATCTTTGCATGCAGTGCTTCCCTTACACTCTCCATTTGTTCCCTTGTAAGGGAAAGGAACCCTAAATTCAAAAGAAATTCAGCTGTGAATGTTTCAGCACACTGGATGAAGTGAATTCTGAGACACCACACAAGCAGTACACGCCATTCCCTGTGCTCAGCCATCCCCACGGGGAGAGCTGACAGCCTGGCTCTGGGAACAGAGCTGCCAAAGGGCATTTTGGCCTTTGTGCATTTTCAACAGTCTGTTTTAGGAAATACCAGTGTGAACAGAAACACCATCATGCTGCAGAGCAAAGCATGGGCTAACAGCCAAGTACTCTGTTCTCCACGGCTGAACGGTGCAGTGACACTTCAGGGACAGAAAATAATCAGTTACACCATTTTTTGAGCACACATTAAGATTTCTGCTCGATTTGATGGATTGCAGTGTGCCAAGGCTACTGGAAAAACACTTCCCAGGACTCTGCCCTGCATCACATCTCAGCCTTCACTTTGGGAACTAAGATATCTTCATTAGTTCCCAGCTGTCCTCACATGCAATGGTCACATGCAGATTTAGGATGCTCCAGTCCCATTCCAGACCTCAGGAATTACTAGGATCCAACAGCACGTGTGCTGACACAGATGCCTCAGTATTTTCTCCAAGGTACCATAATTGTCTACTATTTTTCCACACTGCTGTGGCTTGAAAAAGCCTGAGCAGGTGACATTTGCTGGAGCCCTGCAAGTCCTCACCTGGAGTGGTGGCAGCAGTGCTTGGGGCTGCAGCAGTGCTGCTCTGGGCTGTAGGAACACTGCCATTTGTGGGGGCTCCACTGGGCACAGAAGTTGCTGCCTGTGCCTTTGCTGTGCTTTTTACTGGCACAGGGCTGGCTGTGGGAAACTGAGGGTGGGCATCATCAGGCTGCCCAGGCTTCTCAGTCTTCCCTGGAGCTGTCAAGTCCAGTGCCACAGGGCTGGAGAACGTAGCCAGCACTGATGATTCTGGTGCAGATGTTCCTGTGTGGATCTGTAAAGGAAGAAGTTGTCTGAGTTTGACCTGAACACTGAATGGCAGTTTTAAGTTGCCTTTCTCCTCCTCCACAGTTAGGGAGGCTGAAAAATCCCTGGTTTGTTTTTCCAGAAGCAGGAATTTTTACAGCTTCCCCTCTCTCTTCTGAAGTGTTTCTCCATGTTCTTCCTCCAGAGCAGACAGGCCATTTCTACCCCAGCTGAACACCAGTTAACACCAGATTTAGCTACAGCATTTAAGTACCAAGGCTGTTGATGTGGCAAATAGAAGATCCAGGTTCAAAACTGCAGTGAGCTAAAAGAAGAGAAAGGTGGGATAAGATAGCCCCTGAAGACAGGGACCACAAACTGGGGCTCATTTACTCTGGCTGTGATTTTGTTTTCCTGAAGCCATGCAGTTGGCCAACATGAAGCAGGAGGATTGCAGTGGCATTTTTATGTAATAACTGAATTGTTACAGCAAGAGTAAATTTATTTTGGAATCACTCTTCAAAGCAAGGTGAGCTGACACACACAGCTCCCTTCATGCCTGCCCCAGGAGATGCTGCTGGGCAGGGAGAGGAGCTGGAGGGCACAAAGTTTGCTCACATCCACACAGGATGAGCCACTTGATTGAAAATAATCAGAGTGGCAGGAACAATTTCCTTTCTTTCATCAGAAAATTCCTTTTACCTAGCCCCATTCCAGTTCCCAGCCTGCCAGACCATACTTCTGACAATTTACCCTCCATGGTGAAGTCCATGTGTGTAGCACATCTTTTTTTTTTAGCTAACTCTATTTTGAGAACATCTGCTAACTATTTAAAAGGGAGCAATTTACCATCTTTGACTCAGAAAGTGCTTTGGAGCTGGATTTCCCACCACTACTCCCCATTAGAGGAGTGATTAAAAGCTCAAAATTGAAGGAATTATACTCCATATACTTTTAGACCATGCTGTTGGCATTCAGTCCAGGAAACAGGAACTGGGAAAACACTCCAGACCATGGTGGGCAACATCCTTGTCAGTAAACGGGCTGGGCTTTAGAAAACACTAAATGTTGGTTGTAAAATAAAGCTGTGCTGCCCACACTGAACAACCAACCAAGCCAAGTGCAGCAGTGAAGGCACTGAGGGCTTCTCTGCAAGGTTTTTGTTTCAGCCTTGGGCAAATAATTACCTCTCACCATATCTCAGCTCACTTTGCTCACAGAATGTAAAACAATTGTTTGATTAACATCTGAGCTTTATGTACCAAGGAATCCAACACTATTTGTTAGTGTTACAGACATAAGCTGTCTTCCTTTATTTGGTTCCTTGCTAATGGGCTTAAACAGAAGTATGGATTCTTTGGAATCCATACAGAAAAAAATCTGGCATGCTGCTCTTCCTCAGTGGCCTCAGGACAGCTGGATATCCCAAGCTGTATCATCTTCCACCCACTGACAACTGCAAAGGGTACTGACTCCCTTTCCTCAAGATAAAGTTTGAAATGCTGGCAGGAGAAAGAGGGGAACAGCCAGGCAGGAACCCAAGTGAGACAGACTCTTTAGGAAAGGCACAGGACCAGAATGTTCCCATGACTTCCTACCACTATGGGAAATCACTTTTTCCTTCTCAAGAATCAACCCAGAAGGGTGACAAGAATCAACCCAGAAGGGTGACAAGAACAAAAACAAACAGGAGATCCACATTCACCTGCTGGCCACAGCAGAGTGCCCACTTTGCTTGGCAATATTAACAGTGAGCTGAATGCTTACTTGACTCACTTTTAATTCCCAAAAAAACCCCACTTTACAGTTAAGAGAGATCCTCTTCCTTCCAAAAGTCTTCAGGATAAATTGACAGCCAAATGTCTGTGGAGAGCTCGAATTAGATAAGCTTTGCCTGGGGCAACACAACAGTCAAAAATGCCTCTAATGCTTGCAAGCTGAGACATTTCTTATCTTTGCTCCATAACTCTGAATTCTTTAAAGCAAAGAACAGATTATTTCATTCTTGGGGATAAATGACAAGGAGACTAGAAGTTTGCCAGCTGTCCTATCTTATTAGCTTAGAAAATAGAGAGGAGTGACACATTGGCCTGAGTCAACACAGGAGCCTCAGACAATTTTGATTCCACCCCTAAATGCCTTTGGCCTGAGACAAATAACCCAGTGTCCTTGTCTGAGAGTCCCATGCCTGTTAGAGGGACTAGAGCAGCCCTGTGCATCAGAATCCACACCAAGCCCAAGTTATCTGAGAGAAAAATACCTCTGTCCTGGAAATTATTTCTATTTTTTAATTTAAATAGGCCTGGTCTGAATTTACAAATTGGGCTCTTCTCAGCTTAGATGGTGTCCTTGCTGTCTGCAGTAAGTGCCACATCTGTGAAGACTCTTAAGACACTAAAATGTAGGTAATGTCACAAACCATTACAGAGTTACTGCTGGTGGTAAAGAGAGACATTTCCTTGTTCCCTGTGGATGAAAAACTTGCAGGAAGTGTGACAGCAAGAGCCAAACAGTGGGCTTCATGTGAGGGCAGGAATGAGTTCTCTGTCTCTGTTGCAACACTCCTGCTGCAGCCTTTTCCAGTCTTTCTGCAGAGCTGCTGCAGTGCTGCAGCAGCCCTGCTCATCAGCAATGCCACAGTAAAATACTTCTCCTGACTGGCTATTAAATGTGTGGCTATATTTTAAAATTGACAGGGAATTTTACAATGAGATAGAAAAAAAAAACCTGGTGCCTGGAAAACATCACTCACTTTAATGAAAAAGTACCAATCTCCCTCAGTTAAGGGCTGATGAGCAGGATGCACTGTGGTTTATCCTGGTTCCATAGCATGGATACAGTAAAACCAGAAATTAATGCTCACTGCACATTAGCAAATGCTATCCCAGATGGCTGTGGAGCCATCAGAACTGCAAGAGGAAAATTAAAACCCACAGAGGCCAGTTTTCCCAAAACTATCCTTCTCCTTCTCTCTGAGCCTGCAAGACCAAAGGAAAAGATTTGCCTTCCATACATTCAGTGCTCAGCAGCAGCAGAGGAGAAAAAGCACTCTGATTTCAAATGTCCTTTCCTACTTCAGGTGTTTGTTGCTCTCAGGTATGAACAGCCAGTACTGTCCCCATCTTCCAGCCCTTCCTAAAGAACAGCATTAAGCACCCAGCCATGTCCTCCACGGATTGGGCCAAATGTAGCCCAGGAGAAATTCTACTCATGGGGGTAACTTTATTTTGGTCTCAGCTTGGAATACCTCCCTCCTGGAAGGTCTGGCCATGTCCCAAGAACACAGCCCCCAGTGCTGGCTCACATTAAACTGCTCTTGGATTTGAAGGGCAAGGACAGCTGCAGAGCTGGCTTTGCATTTTGCAGGTAAAGTTGGATGGTTCAATAATCCTGGAATTAGCCCAGGTGGGTATTTTAATTCTTCCTTCTCCTCAAAAACTCCATCCTAAACCTCAAAAATGCAAATGCCAGGAATTCCATCACGTCACAATATTTTTGTAGAATGTTTTTATTTTTAAGAATTTGCATTTCATTAAGAGCCATGGACTTTCTTATTAGCAAAAATCATCAAGGAGAGTAAAAACCTTTCCCCAGCACACATCCAACAGTGCACATTAATGACAGTGGAAGCAATTCCTAAAGGTAGGAAATCCTGCACGTTCAGCAACATTCACAAGCTGATTAATCAGTGTAATTTAATATTTGCAACCAGTTTACTAGACACACATTGGACAGTAATAGCAGGATAACCTGGAAAACAAAACTGCAAAAAGAACAAGCAGGGAGACGTAAAAGCTGCTCCCCAAGAGCAAGAGAAGACATTTAGGAGTGGCTGCAAAGACATCTCCTCACATGTATGACAGCTGAGAGAATGGGGTCACCATGCTCAGCTCAACTCCTAGGAGGAGGAAAGAGCAGGGAGGGTGGAAATGCAGCAGCATTGCAGGGGAGAGAGAAATCTGAGCTCAAGTCAGCCTCGAATGCTGGGGGGGTTCTGGAAAATCAAACATTTGTCAAGTTTTAGTGCCTGGTTTCACGTGTCACCCGGGCTGCCCGGGAGCTCTCAGCAGTGTCCCTTGGCTGCTCGCCACATCCTGCTCCAGGGTGGTGGCTCAGGCAGTCACAGCCCTACCTGCAACCTGATTTGAAAAATTCAGTCATTTCCAGAACCAGAGGCACCAGTTTTGTACAAAGCCAAATCCCTGAAACATGACAAAAGCTATTTCAGGAGCAGTTTAACAAAGTAGAATTATATTTCACCATCAGGAGTGCACAAGCATTTTTGAGATAAGGTTCAAAAAATCATTTGCAGATGTAAAAATACAAACATCACTTAACAATTCAAATGTGCCAAATTCTCTGTAACATCATGATGTGCTGGCTTAACACTGTATGTATTTGGAGTAGAGACTAAACTGATTTCATTCACCCAGTGCCAAGGTAAGCTTTGGAGGATTTGAGAAATTGGAGCACTCTTCAAAAAAGAGAACATTTGGAATTAAGATGCCAACTCAAGCAAGCAGATTGACATTGAAGTACACTGTGAGCTCTGTGCATGACTCTATAAAATAATGTATTTAACTGCCTCGATTCAGCATTTAAATGAAAACAGCTTTTTTCATTGTGTGGATTTGAACAGGTAACAGTTTCAGCTTCCAGACAATTGCCACTGACATGTCACCTTTCCTTCTCATCTGGCAAGCACATTTGTGTGTGTGATTAGACAGAGGATAAGCATTATCATAGACTCCATCCTGCCTCACCTTCCCACTTCAACACAGTTTATCCCACCTAAGAAAAGGGGGGGAAAAAAACCTACCCCAAAACTCAAACAAAACCCCAAACCACTGGCTGTGCCTTGTTGATTGGAGGCTGAAAACTGGCAACCTGAAAAGGTATCCCATCCCTGGGCAGTTCCAAGTCAAAAATCAACCTAAAGCCAGACTGAGGAGGGTGACAGCTGTCCCAGACAGCCCCACCCCAGCCCCAGCAATCACTTACCTGGGGCAAGTCACCATCAGCATCCTGTGACCTGTTCACATTATTGCTCTTAGGAGGGAGTGGGCTTCTGGGGTTCAGTTCTCTTGAATTCTGTCCATTTTTCAGCAAGTCTTGCTTTTGATTTTCTTTCTCAGGAGCATTTCTGTCTGCCACTAAGTGCCTCAGGACCTGATCCTTCAAGTGTTCTGTTTCCTCTGCTCTGCTGCTTCTGGAGTTCTCTGCCAGATCCCTTCTCAGCAGCTGCACCCTGTTACCTGCCAACCTCCACTTCTGGAATGATCTCCGCAGTCTTTTCTTCCTCTGGACAGGGATGTCCCAGTCCAACCACTTGTGACTCCAAGTCTTCATATCACCCTCCACATGGAAGTTTAACAAGTGCTCTGTGCTTTTCGATTTCTTTAAAAACACCAAAACAGAATCTGAAAAGCCAGTCTTGTTGGCCTGACACGTGCCAGGCACGGTGCAGTTCACCTGGATGCACATATTTTCCAAGAACCAAAAGGCATCACAGGTGGGGCGCTGGCAGCAAGTGGTCTGACAGGAGCTCAGAGAATGGAACCCTTCCAGAAGCTGCAAATGGTGACCTGCCCACAATCTCAAACGGCCACCAAGCAGGATCTTCCCCAGCTCACATTTAGATCCGTTCCAATTTGCATCTGGGAAAGAAGGGGGAAGACAAAAAGACAAAATTCTCAGTCCTTTAAAGCAGTGGATAATAGATCTCATCACTATTGTTAAGATGAATTTGGGACACAGGAATAACACAGGAGAGGAACACAGGAAAGTAAATCTGACTTCTCAGAATCTCTACCTGGCCTCACTATCCAGTACTTACACACGATTTTAAGAACAATCTGCTCCTCCTACCTAAGCCACCACCCTTTCCAACAGGGATGGAGAAGCAGAAGTGAAGACAGAAATGTTCCTGCTTCAGAGGAGCCCATAATGTCCACACTGAGCAGCTGGACCAAGGCCACACAGCAAGTTCAGAGCCAGAAACTGAACCCTGAAATCCCAAGCACAGTTCTTCACTCTAACCAGTTATGGCCTTGCCTCTCTGCCCATAGTCTGCCCAGAAGGAAAACACTGCAAACAGTGGCACTGGCTTGGTGCACAGTACAGAGGCATTTTTAATTCTTCCATGCTGATATTTGACATCAGTTGCTTATTTTGACTGAATTTGCTCCACTTGGGAAGTTGTTAACAGTTTCTAGAAAAGGGTTCTGCAAGGCAAAGCCTTGCCACCCACCCTGACATAGTGTTTTTCATTAAAAACCCTCAAACATTTGACATAATTTCAGTTAAGAGTCAAGTCACTTCAGGTCTCAGCTCTGCAGTAAAGCAGCAACTGCTTTGCATATGGATTCTTTTTTTCTTAGCATGAACATTTTGAGTGCTTGCAGAGATCAATGGATTAAAGGCTTCCAAAATTCAGAGCTCTGCAGATTAAGGACTCCCTAAAAATAGCCTAATGACCTATGGGACTGTTACACTGTGCTGTGTTCAGCATCCAAGTGATAATAGGTCATTGGAAGATTACTTTACAAACAGTGTTGCTGGAGTGGGAGTTGTGCAGCTAGAGAATATGCTCCAGATCTGGCTCCCTCCCTGTCAAGAATGGAGTTCTTTAACATAACACAAATGGGAAACATTTTTCTCCATTAAAATAAAGTCTGGATTTAAATTACAATATCCTGATTGAGAATGAACTCGAGTTTAGTGACCAAGTCATGGGGGACAGAGCTGCCTGTGGGTGTCTGAACCCACCACTGTGCAGAAGGGGGAGAAGAGCCTCACTTGAGCACTGAAACGTGTAAAAGAAACTCTGCAAATGTTCAACAGCAAGAGAAGTTGACACCAACACCTTTAAAAATCTCAGCACTCTCATCACACCTCATCAATACACAGCACTTCCTTGGAGAGAGAGCAGACAGGGAATCTGTGTGTCCAGGGCAACAGCCAACCTCATCACACCTGGAATGCCTGGACTGCCAGTCCCTGGCACTGCTGTCACAGACACAGGCAGGGACAAGCTCCTGGCACCAACCTGATGGGGCTGGAATTAGCACAGAATATGGAATGTGTGTACACACCAAACCCATGTGTGTGCACACACACTCTCTGCAGACTTGGAAAAACAATAACAAATTGAAGAATTACACCATTCCTGTGAATTTCAACAGGATCTCTTCCACTCAGATTTATGTTTTGCCTGTAAAATTCCCTTTCTGTTAAAGGTGAATCACCGTCACTGATATATCCTTTGCATGAGGGAAATGTGCTGCTTCCCACACTCCTAAAATCCTTCCTCCTCCTCCTCCTCCTCCATCACTGCTCATCCATCTCTCCTCATGTGTCAGGCCTGGCTCACACATACCACTCAAATGAAGGCTTGATATGGAAGCAGTGAAATTCAGCAGCAGTTTCTAGTACCAGGCTTAGAACTGGGGCACACACAGAATGGGGCACATTTAAAAGAAAAATGTTCCCAGGGAAGATATCCCTTGTGACAAATCACTACATAACACAGGTATCATATTTATTCATCTCAAATATAAATCCTGCACCCCCAGAAACATCTCCTCAGTATGTCAGAGCCATGACTTAGCCTGGATAACACAACACTGTCATGCTGAGAGTATTCTGCTTCTCTTTTAACACACTGCTAAAACAAGATTTGAATAATATTTTGGCTACATTTCATTTCCAGAACTCTGCTAATGGCCACTTGGGACATATTTATTTGAAATTAGCCAGTATGTTCTTCTGAATTGCTGTACATGGACAGCTTAAAACTCAGATAACTCTCAGGAATGACAGAAGTGAACAGGCAACTCCCAGCATGCCAGATGTGAATTTTCCACAGAGACATACTGATTTTCACTTTGCATTTTCAAATTCCATGGCCTTTGGTGGGCATCAAACATTCAGACAACTCTACATGCCCTGGGAGAAAACAGAATCTACACTTGCATTCATCTGTGGAAAGCAGGAACATTCCTGAGGATGAGTTCCCTCCTAAGCTCAGCACCACACAAGTCACAAGACACCTGCACTGTGGGTGTGCTTAGTCACTTTTCCATACTGGTTTTGTCACATTAGTGGAGAAAACTGCTCTTCCCAGGAACTCAGGAGTTCCTGTCCCAGGGATGCAGCTCACAGCTTTGCTGAGCAGCAGGAGAACGGAACACACAGGAACAGCTTCTATTAATAACTTCAGGTTTACAGACTTGCCCAGGCAGTTAATCCTGCCTGATAGCAGATTAATGATTAAAGACTTGACTCTATGGACTTTTTAAACCCGCCACACAGCCAGTCAGTCAGTTATGTCAACACAGTCCCCCTTGCGTAACTCCACATGACCACGCTCATTTCTAGGAGCCATAACTCCTCCTCAGCTTCACAAACTCCGCTGCCTGAGTGACACAAACAAGCTCAAAATAACAAAAACTCTGCAATGGAAAAAATGGCCACATCAGGGTAACTGTGCCCATATAATTACATTTATTTCTGCACACGCAAAAGCCTTAATTTAATGGACTCTTCACTCATTTAACCGCTGGACTTGATGATCTCAGACCTGCACTGTTCCAACCTTAACTATTCTGTGAGTCCTGGCTTTAACTCTTCCAAGAAGAGCAGCCCTTAAACACACCAAAACTGTCTAGAACACCCTCTAGGAGTCTCTTAGGAGCTCTAACTTTGAACTTCCAAGAAATTACTAAAGCCAGGAAATGCAGGGAGGAAGCTCAGTTGACAAGGAAACACTCATCATTCAAACACACAACCCTTAGCAGGAATACAAACATGTTTTTCCAGGGTCTGAATTAGCTGATTAAGATCACAGAGCTCATTAGCTTAACCAAATCTGCCACTGGGAACTGTCCAGGAAAGTCCAGTAACACAAGAGGGATACTGCAGCTGCCTGGAGAACACAGCCACATAACTGGGAAACAAAGCAAACCAACCCCCTTCCCAAACCAAACCTCACACAATCCTTTAGAGGAAAACTTCCATCCAAGCCACTAACTTGGTTATTTACTTGAGCAGGAGGTTGGTTGCTCAAGTTTGAACAGGAAATAAAAAAACAAACATAACCATTGCCTGTAGGCAAATAAAGACTTCTGACACACGGCTCTTGGGAAGAACATTAAACATCTTAGGGTTAAAAAACATTCCTGCCTTTCCAGGTTGGTTTCCTTAAATTAAATTATTTTCCAGATTATCACTTGTCCCTTTTGTCAAAAATTAAGGTCAGAAAAAGCTCTCTCTGAGATACAAGCTACACTTTTGAGAGCCTATTTAGTAAATGCTAAGGGTGGTGCTTTGTTTGGTTTGAAAAAAACAACTGCTTTGGTTTCTCAGTTAAAAAAACAATTAAAAAGGAAGCCCATAAAAAAAACCAATCCTATAAATCTACCAGTAAATCATTTCACTTTTCTCTCAGAGTATTTTAAACAAGTAAGAGGGATAAAGACCATAAAAATCCATACCCACAGTCCCAGAGAGAACAGAACAGTCACCTGCAGAGGAGCACGAGGCACACAGGCAAGTGCACAGGTAGAACAGCTGCAGAATTCCCAGCTCCCTCACAGCTTTTCCCAGGCAGTATCGGGACAGGAACCGGGTGCTGATGCTGGGTTTGGCTTCCAACCTCTTCTCCATGGCCTTTGTGGGCAGCAGCAGGGTTCTAGAAACACGCAGGGCATGAAACACAAAACATCCCGTGGCAATTGAAATGTTCCTGCACAGATCCAGCGAGAGTGCAAAGTGAACAGAGCATTTGTGGAGGAAAAGGAATGTCTTATCAGCTGTGATTAGTCCAGCTGTTGCTAAGGAACTATCAATGTCTGATACCAAAATGAAATCTGTAGTGGCACAGCTCCCAGTGCCGAGCGCACAGAGCCTTTCCATTGTTGTTTTCTCCTCCAGACCCCATTTTTCATCTGATATCACAACAGCTGTCCACTGGTTTCCAAACAGGCATTTGGGAAATTCCAGTTTCAAACGTGCCTGAGGATTGGACACCCAGCAGCAGCACGAGGATAACCCAGGCACTGACAGCCCCTGCACATCTGCCCGGCGATGTCACACAGGCACGGCCGTGCTGGCTGGTGCCAGCCACAAACAGGGACACGAGAGCACAGCAACGCTGGGAAACTGGCAGCTAACGCCCTGGCTTGCTTCTTGTTTTGCCCCACAGGGCAGAGATCACCAAACTTCTCTGCCTTCCTGATGCCGAAGGTTATTTAACAGCCCCATATGCTAATGGAATGTAAATTATCTCTAGGTGATGCGGTAGGAGAACATTAATTATTTCACAGGTAATAAATAGTATCTATTTTAAGGGAGCAATGAAAGCATCATTAGGCACTAAACGACATTAAACAGGCCAGTTCTGAAGAATCCAAAGGGAATCTGGGACGGCAAATCCAATCTGTAACAGGGAACGCTGTCACAGCCAGACCCACCAGCGCTCCGCAAGCACTCGGGGCTTGTTACACCTCGAGGAATTGCACTCAACCGTCCGCAGCAGAGCAGGAACAGACACGGCAGGAAACTTCACGGGGGAGGATATAAACACGCGCCCGCTCAGCCAACAGGTCCTTGAGGAAACTTTCCGCCGCCCCAGAGCCCCGGTGCCCGTTCCTGCCCGGCCGGAGCCCCGGCACCGAGCCCCGGCGCCGGGCCCGGGCCCCGCGGGAGGCGGCAGCGCCCCGTGCCGCCGGCGCGTACGTACCAAGGGCGCATGGCGAGGCTCGGCGGCTCCTCAGCGGCTCCTCGGCGAGCTCAAGCGGGCACCGGGCGCCGGGCACGGCCGGGGCTCCAGCGCGGCGGGCCCGGGGGCACCGCGGCCTCCTGCCCCGCGGCCATGGCGGCGCATGCTCACCCGGAAGCTGAACCACCTGAACAGCACCAGGGCTGGGTCCGGCAGTGCGGGCAGTGCCAGGGCTGGGAGCCACGGGCCCCCGCCGCTCGCTCCCCCGCCGCTCCCGGTCGCACCGGGCGGGGCGGGCGCGGAGGCCGCGCAGCCACAGGTGATTTGCCCACAGTTCCGCGCGGAGGCGGCGGCTTCGGGCACCGCCCAACAAGGCGGCACGCGGTTGGCCGGCGGCGCGGAGGCGGCGCGCGGATTGGCTGGAGGGGCAGGCGGTGCAGGAGGCGCGCGCCCGCAGGCGGGGCGCCGTGAGGGAAGGGGCCGGAGCCGTGAGGGAAAGGGCCGAGGGAAGCGGCCGGGGCCAGAGCCGTGAGGGAAAGGGCCGGAACCGTGAGGGAAGGAGCCGAGAGAAGGCTACCCACGTTCCCCTCTAGTCCTTCAGCCGCGCTTCTCGGCCATGGCCTCGGACTCCGGGGACGGGCACGCCACGCTGAAGCGGTGCCTCAGTGTGCTCAGAGACGCGAGGAACGACAGCGAGCAGTTCGCAGCGCTGCTCCTGGTAAGGAACCGTGGGATCGCCTCCGGAGAGGGCAAAGGGGAGGCTAAGCACCCTGCTGGACACGGGAGTGCGCGGGGGATGCGGAGAGGTGGGGATTGGGAGCTCAGAGCAAAGCTGCTTCAGAGCTTTGGGGTTCCCTTCAGCAAAGCAATTGAGCCTGGCCTTGACTTGGGAGTCAGTCAGTGCTGCCACACTCTTGAAACACCGTGGTAGATGTCTGGATTAGCACTCGGACCAAGTGCCAGCTCAGTGGGTACTTCCCTGCACTAAATAAAGTTGTTTTAGTTTCTGGTGTGCAGCAGTTCCATCCTGTACATGTACCAATTCCTTTTGCTATGCTCATGCTCGCTGCTGTTTTGCCTCGTAGGTGACCAAAGCAGTCAGAGCCGGAGAGGTGGATGCCAAGACCCGCCGCCAGATCTTCAACGCGATCGGATTCACATTCCCGACCCGCCTGCTGATCTCCCAGCAGCCCCCAGCCGGCTGCCCCCCGCACACCTTCCGTGCCCTCGGCCTCACCCTGCTGGCCTGTTTCTGCACCGACCCAGAGCTAGCTGGGCACTCCCAGATCCTGAACAAAATCCCGACCTTCAATGACATCCTGCTGTCCCCCTGCGACCCAGACTGCACATCCATGGTTGATGACGTGTACCAGTGCCTCAGCGCTGTCCTGGCCACAACCAGGGGCCCCAGGGAGTTGGTGACCAAAGGGACGGTGTCTGCCCTGTGCCAGGCCTACCTGAATGGTGGTCACGGCTCTGAGCGTGCCCTCACACTGCTTGTGGGGCTGTTGGCCATAGCAGAGGCCAAGTGCTGGCAGAGAGATGCTCCACAGCTCCTGGCTGTGCTCAGCAAGCTCTCCAGTGACTTCCTCAAGGCTGAAGACATGACCAAATTTGAGCTGTGTCAGGTTCTGCCTCACTTCATCCCCCTGTCACCTCCTCTCACAGAGAACTCGCAGGGCTCCGAGTGCCTGTGCAGACTTTACAAAGGGCTGGCTGACGTTTTGGGCAGCAAACTCAGCCAGTCACAGCGGGACCCCGCTCTGAAGCTCGCAGCTGGCCTCGTGCAGGCCTGTGGGGCTGAGTGGATCCCTGCAGGGAGTGCTGGCAGCAAGTTCCTGGCCCTGCTGGTGAACTTGGCTTGTGTGGAGGTCCGCCTGACCCTGGAGGAGCCAGATGCCGTGGAGGTGGAGGGGAAGAAAGAAGTGATGGCAGCCTGCTATGTCATTATGGAGATGGGGATCCAGGAGTGCCTGAGGGAAGAGAACCCTCTGCTAGAAAATGTGCAGAAAATGCAGCTCATGAGGATTATGGAGGAGGCATTTGGAGCTGTAATTTTCTACTTGAGACAGGTAATGCAGGGCTTTTAACAAAGAACAGGTTGTGGGGGTGGCTCTGTGTGGAGCAAACTCTCCCTCTTGACCCACTTGTGATTTCCAGACCTGTGGAATGTTGATGTACAGTGACAGTAATGTGTCACTTTGCTTTCTTCATGCAGGTCAAACAGGAGGAGCTGCAAGATCCTTTCATCTTTGCCTCTGTTCGAGTCCTTGGAGCTTGGATGGCAGAAGAGACATCCTCCCTCAAGCAGGAAATCTGTGAGCTCTTGCCTTTCCTTGTTGATTATGCCAGGAAACTTTTCAAGGAGGGCAACCCAGCTGTGAGTGTTCCCCAGGCAGAGCTGGTCAGCAGCGAGGGCTCTGCCTTACCCCAGGATGCTCTGAGGTGAGCATTTTAAGCACACATTTGTTGCATTTTAGCGCAAGCCTGCTCAAATATTTTTTCTATTTTTATTCTCCCTGCAGTGCCACTTCCATGGGGCTTTCTCCCCCGAGATGGATGTAAATGCAGGGCTTAGACCCATTCTACCTCATGCTCCCAGTTTCTTTCCCCTTCCAGATTTCTGCTACCTGGCTTTTGCCATTTGACAGCAGAGGACAGGCCCCGGGACATCCTCATTGCCGAAGGGGCACCAGCACTGCTGTGTGAGTACTTCCTGCAGCAGTGGGAGGTTCTGACCTCCGAGTCCACAGCCCCAGCGCCTCTGACGAGCACTGAAATGAGTCTCCAGACCATGTGTGGGATTTTCCTTAACCTGGTTGTGACTGCTCCGGACCTGGTCAGGTAACAGAGCTGTGGGAACTGGCTCTGAGGTTGGCAGTGGGAAGAAAGGGTGCCTTGTACATCAAGCTTGAGGATCTGTTAACTTGCTATGTTGAAAAGGGATGTTCCTTTTTCAACCCAAATTTCATTGTATTTTTGGTGCTGTGTTTAACCTTGACATTCTCAGGTGCTTCTGGCTCTGCTCAGGAAATGTGTCAAAAAGGGTTTATTTTCTCTCTAGGCGTGACAAAACCTTTTCCTCCTTGATGGATGTGTTGCTGAAGTCCCTTCCACTTCTGCTGCCCCAGAAGCATCACCTGGTTCTGGCAGCAAACGTTGCCACTCTGGGCCTGATGATGGCCAGGATCCTGGCAGGGTCAGCAGGTAAAGGAAGTTCCTATTGGCAAAGCCCACGTTGTGCCGCATGGGCAGAGACCAGGAGCTGGAAAGTTGGGCTGGAGAAAGCAAATAGAAGGGAAACTGGTCCAGTTTGTCATTGGAAAAGTGATAAACCAAAAATGTTCGGGAGCAAGGAATGCGTGAAACATTCAGCAGGCTGATGTGCTGGGATGAAGAGATTTCTAGGGCAGGAAAATGTTGTCCTGTTCCACACAGCCCCACCACAGGGCCCTTCTCTGACTGAGCAAACTCTGCATTGTAACATTAATTTCCTTTTATTTCCAGCCCTTCAGGGAACACAGTCTGCCAAGGAGTTTTTTGGAGCTGCCATTCGCTTCCTCTCCCAGGCCCACACGGCGCAGGCAGACCCCAGCAGCGATGGCCTGGCCGTGGCCGTGTCACCCGCCTACGCGAGCTCCTGGGATGACATCCGTGAGCTCTGGTTCCTGGGAATGCAGGCCTTGGCCGGCTGTGTCCCGCTGCTCCCCTGGCTGCCCCAGGCCGCTCTCCAGGCAGGCTGGCTGCAGGGACTCACACAGCTGCTGTCCCGTGTCACTCCAGCCTCCGTGGATTTCGAGCTCGTCACCGCGTTCCAGGCTGTGCTGGTGGAGCTGGCCAGAGCCAGCCAGCAGTGCAGGGATGTGATCCTGTCCCACCATGGCACGGAGTGGGCCAATCTGTATGGAATGGCAGCCCTGGAACAGTGTCTGGCCGAGCAGGGAGGAGCCAGCAGCACTCTAGGTGGGAAATGAAGGCAGACACCTGCACAAGGTCTGTTCAGCACTTCTGCTGTGTTCTTTGCTGCCAGATGGGCACAAAAAACCCCATTTTAGTGACCAAACTTTACAAAACTGGAGTGATGCATCAGCACCCAGCATGATCAGCACTGTCCACATTGGTGTGCAGAACTGCTGCTGCCTCAGAATATTTCACCATGCCCTTGCTTGACCTGTTGTGAGGATTTCTCTGTAAAAACAGCCTGTTTTGTTATTAAAGACATTTTGTCAGTTTGTTTTCCAAACTCCTCAGTGCTGGAATTCCTTTCTGCCCAGGGCCCTGAGAGGATGCTTGCTCATCCCTTTAATATGGTCACAGTAAGCCCTGCACCTTGTTTTTCACCTTTATTTCACCTTATTTTTTCTGAGTCCTGCACATATTAGTAACTACACATAGAACCCTGAAAAAGGCAGGAATGGGAAAAGCTTTATTATTTACTGATAGCATTGGGAATGACTCCTTGTGGCTTGAAGATTCCATGCTGCCGGATAATCCCCCAGTTCATATCCTCCACTGGTACCATCATCCCAAGTTCACATCTTGAAAACCTTCCCAGCACTACTTGTTGCCTGTTTTGCCCCATCAGACACCTGCACAAAGTACGTCCATGGGATTTTCTATTTGCTCCTTCTCGCTGACAGGATGGGACGTACAGGGAGAGATTTCCACTCTTGCAATGTGAAGGATTCAGTCTGCCTCTGCTCCATTTAGGGTGTGAAAGCCAAAATGAGTGAACTCCCCCTTGCTGATTCCCTGAAGACCAAAGAACGTCTTGCTTTACAGAAGAGAAAGGCCACATGTACCATGGAGTAAACCTCTGGTAGTGCCGGCTTTACAGCTTGGCCTTGCAGTTCTCTGGTACCGCGTTATCCCGACGGTATTTCCCAGAACGAGCGGCTGCGCAGGGTGGCTGCTGAGGCTCATCCTGGCGGCGCTCCCTGCTCCCGTTTTTCCACCAGGTGTCAGCCGAGGAGTTCTCTGGGAGCTGCTGCCTCGCCGGGACCGGCTCTGCTGCCAGCCCGAGGCGCTGATGAGAACTCATTGGAGGGGGCTGTAGAATCGTCTGATCAAGGGAAAATCAAGCACGAAGCTGCCTCCAAAGGAGGGCTGGCTCTGGGTGTATTCCTGCTTTACACTGTGTTTTTGGCTCACTGCTTTATTAGAGCGAGTGCCTTACACAACTGGAGAGGAGGCTGCTGCTCAGGGAAAGTATCTTTAGATCTTTTCAGCTCAGCCCTGAGCAGCCAGTGCAAGTTGGAACAAAGGCAGGTGCTGCCAGCAGAGCAGTGTGAGCCAAACCAGCAAATGAGCCTCCTGG